TTCCAGCTCACTGACGACCTAGCCACAACGTTCTCCTCGCTGCGAACCCGAGACAGGCCCACCGGACCCACAGCAGGGAGGCATTCGGGAATGTGTCCAAACCTCCAAGGCCCCACTCAAATGTGCTGGCCCCTGTCGGGGTTCTTCCCGGGGGCCCACGGAAGGAGAGGCTGGACTGGGGGATTGAGTCCAGGTGGGGCCCGAGGGTTGAGAGGCGCACCAGAGCAAGTGGACGGGCAGGAGAGAGCCTCAATATTTTGGTGGAAAATAGAAATTTCCTCCCTCCTTCCCTCCTTCCCTCCTTCCCTCCTTCCCTTCCTCCCCTTCCTCCCTTCCTCTCCCTCCCTCCCTTCCTCCCGTCCTTCCTTCCTCCGTTTACTAAACAACTGTATGCTGGGGATACAGCATCCAGTAAAAGACACTGTCTCTTACAGTCCAGCCAGGAGGCAGTCAATACAATAAGCTAGTGCTGACACTTGATGAGAGTATTGCCAACTGAGGGGTGGGGACACGTGGGGGTCCGCAGTGCTAGGTGGGGTAACCTAGGATGCCTCTGGGAAGATGTGAAGTTTGTCACTTTACAAGGATCCCTGTGTCCATTAGGATGGTAATTGTGAAAAGCAAAACAATAAAGTGTTGTCTAGGATATGGGGAAATTGGAACCCTTGGGCACCATTGGTGGGAATATAAAATGGTGCATCCGCTGTGAAAAACAACATGACCATGACTCAAAAAACTAAAAATAGAATTATCGTATGATCCAGCAATGCTACTTGTGGGTACATAGCCAAGAGAATCAAAAGCAGGGACTTAAACAGATATTCCTGCACCCATGTTCATAGCCCCATTATTCACAATGGTTCACATCGGTTCACCCAGCGATGAGACAGACGAAGTGTGGTGTCTACATGCACAACAATACCATTCAACCTGAAAGGAATGAAATTCTGACACATGATGCAACATGGATGACCCTTCAAGACATTACACTCAGTACCGTAAACCAGTCACAAGGCTGGGCACGGTGGCTCACACCTGTAATCCCAGCACTTGGGAGGCCGAGGCAGGTGGATCACCTGAGGTCAGGAGTTTGAGACCAGCCTGGCCAACACGGTGAAACCCCATTTCTAGTAAAAATACAAAAATTAGCTGGGCGTGGTGGCACACACCTGTAATCCCAGCTACTCGGGAGGCTGAGGCAGGAGAATCGCTTGAATCTGGGAGGTGGAGGTTTCAGTGAGCTGAGATTATGCCACTGCACTCCAGCCTGGGCAACAGAGTGAGACTCTGTCTCAAAAAAAAAAAAAAAAAAGCAGTCACAAAAAGACAAAGACTGTATGGTTCCACTTACATGAGAAGGATCAGGGAGTTGCTGTTTAATGAGTGCAGTTTCAGTTTGGGAAAATGAAAACGTTCTGGAGATGGACGGTGGGGCTGGTTGCATAAGAATGTTTAATACACTGAACTGAACACTTAAAAATAGTTTGGACACATTTTATGTTATGTATATGTTACTAAACTTAAAACAAACAAAACAAAGCAAAACCCTCTGTGTTTGCTCTTAGGGTAGTGGACTGCCAGAGGAATCCGTGAGCAGGGGGAGGCTTTAAGGGACAGTGATTATTTGGGGGGGTGGAATCTGGAGGACGAGGCGGGGTGGGATACGGGTTTGTCCACAGATGGGACAGGGCTGAGAGAGGGGAGTCCAAGTGGATTCAGAGGCCTGAGCTGCAGGGTGGATGGATGGTGGTCGTCTTTGTTGAGATGGAGGGCTCGTGGGGAGAAGGTGAGGGGGACAGAGGGTCCTGTTCTGGCCTCATCACATTTGAGGCCTCTGTGTGACATCGCTTGGAACAATCTGAGTGTGGTGTTGGGGTGGGGGTTGGAGCAGACAGTCCTAATGTGGGTGCTGTCATCCAGTAGTAGATCAATGGTATGGGTAGCTTTGGGCATGTGTGAGATGCTCAAGGGGCAAGGGTCGATGGAGAAAAGAGGCCAGGCCTGGGTAGCCTGACCTGCAGTAGCCAGGGAGGGAAGGCAGCCCCAGCTGGGGAGGCCGAGGGAGGCTGAGCCAGGAAAGGGCTTCAGGAGCCAGGCAGTGATAATCCAGGGAGACATGGCCTGGGAAGGGACTGAGTTGCAGCCATGCTAAGGCTCCTGGTAACCAGGATAATGGCAGGCAGGAGGGAGAGGGAGGCACACAAATGGATGTGCCTTCACAAACAAGGGGAGTGCAGCCTTGGAGGGAAGTGTGGAAGATGAGGGATGCTCTGGACAGGGCTCTGAGGTCCCCTGAGGAGACTGGAAGTGGCCAAGAGGGAGAACTGGCTGAGAAGGTTCTCAGGTGGATCCCAAGAGCATGAGGGTCCCACGAGTGCCCTGAGGGGGGTTCCCTGGGGAGTGGGCTGAGACCAGTGCCTGATGAGAGTGGGTTCAGGAGCCTTCCTCCCTGCTCTGGACGGGAGGGGGAGAGCCTGGAGTGCTGGAGGGATGTGCATTTGTTGGAGGGATGTGAGAAGGTCTGGCCTCATACAGCAGGGGTTGGACCAAGACTCTGAGGAGTTGGGGACTGGGAGCAGGGTGAGGGGATCCCCGCAGACAACCTTGGTTTTCCAGCAAAGCAGGCTAAGGTCATGTTGGAAGCATGCCAGGCAAAGCAAATCCCACCCTGGCAGCCACAGTGTGCAGCAGGGCGGGGACCCAGGGCCTCTGATGCCGGCGCGGGCGCCCAGCGGGCACAAAGGAGCCGGTACAGGAGGTCGGGTTTCATGTCAGCGTGGGGAAGGGGAGGTATTCCTCCTCCAGGCACTTAGCAGGCGCTGGCTGGCCCTCAACTCAGGGTCAGGCTGGGGCTAACGGGAGGGGCCGTCATTGTCGACCGGGGCGTCTGTCTCCCCTTCGATTGGGGGCCGATAAGGCAGGCGCCCAGATTGGGGGCTGAGAAGCACATTCCTGGGAGGCCAGGAGCCTGGGGTGGGTGGGGGAGGCCAGCCAGGGCTGGGAGGGAGCATGGCAGGACATCCAGGGAGCAGCGGCTGGGTCCACTGAAGAGGCTCCCTTTCCAGAGCCCCAGGATATCCTCAAACGGGGAAACTAAGGCATATAAAGAAGCAGAACAGGGCCTGGGGCAGACTTCCCTTCTTTTTTGTCCAGTCTGAGGCCCAGAACAGGCCATTCTGGAAACACTAGGTCCACTTCTCCTTGGACACTTGAGCCCCTCCAGATAATTCTTTATGGAGAGAAGCCCTGGGTATCCCACGTTCCCAGGGTCCTAGTGAGGAAGTGCCTTTACACTAACATCACGGTGGCAGACCTGCCGGCTGGGCCAGCCTTCTTTCTCCTGTGCTGAGGACGGTGGATGGGCGGGGGACCTGTGGGGTAAGGTGACAATGGGCTCTGCTCCCCATGCCACCTCCCTGGCATTGTGACCCTTCCTGCTGACTCCCAGAGGACACCTAGATCTCCTATCCAGGCCCTCTCAGTGTCTGTAGACAGGAGAGCGCCCTCTGTATACTCACCCCACCCAGCTTCCCCCCTCACTGGCCTCACACACTAGGAGGGGCCGTCCTCAGCCCCCAAGCCTGGAGTCAGCTCTGTACCCAAAGCCCCATGTTGCACATTTTTTTTTGTTTTTTTCTAGAGACAGGGTCTTGCTCTGTTGCCCAGACTGGAGAGTAGTGGTGTGATCACAGCTCACTGCAGCCTCAACCTCCTGCTCTCAAGTGACCCTCCCGCCTCAACCTCTCGAGTAGCTGGGACAACAGGCATATGCCACCATGTCCTGCTAATTTTTAAATTTTTTTTGTAGAGATGGCGTCTCACTGTGTTGCTGAGGCTGGCCTCAAACCCCTGTCCTCAAGCAATCGTCCCTTGGACTCCCAAAGAGCTGGGATTACAGGCATAAGCCACCATGCCCGGCCCCCTATGTCACACCTGACACTCCCACGGAACTCTCTAGGCCTTTCCCTTCTCTCCTATGCCTCATTACCACCACTAACTCTTATTCAGGCCTCTGGTTCTTTCCTCTAATACTGTCCCAGCTCTCCGAACTATTCATTCTGTTAAAAAAAAAAAAAAAAGGAGGAAGGCTGGGTGTGGTGGCGGCTCATGCCTATAGTCCTAGCACTTTGGGAGGCTGAGGAAGGCGGATTGCCTGAGCTCAGGAGTTCAAGACCAGCCTGGGCAACATACAGAAACCCCATCTCTACAAAAAATACAAATATTAGCCAGACGTGGTGGTGCATGCCTGTAGCCCCAACTGGGAAGGCAGGGAGAGCCAGGGGGCTGAGGTGAGAGGATCCTTGAGCCGAGGAGGTCGAGGCTGCAGTGAGCAGAGATTGCACCACTGCACTCCAGCCTGGGTGACAGACTGAGACCCTGACTCTTAAAAATATATATATTTTTAAATATGTTTCCTGGCTGGGCACATTGGCTCATGCCTGTAATCCCAGCAGTTTGGGAGGCCAAGACAGGCAGATCACCTGAGGTAAGGAGTTAGAGACCAGCCTGGTCAACATGGTAAAACCCCGTCTCTATTAAAGATACAAAAATTAGTTGAGTGAAGTGGCACTCACCTGTAATCCCAGCTACTCAGGAGGCTGAGGCAGGAGAATCACCTGAACCCCGGGGGAAGAGGTTGCGGTGAGCCAAGATCGTGCCACTGCACTCCAGCCTGGGCGATAGAACAGACTCTGTCTCAAAAATAATAAAAAAATAATAATAATAATAAAAATGTGTTTTTTAAAAGCAAAATAAATAAAATTTAAAAAATAAGAGAGGGAGAGCAGAGGGTAAAAAGTGCCTCCTACTCCAGGAAGCCCTCCCTGATCACCTTCAAAGGGACCAGAGCTCACCTACTTCTGTTAGAGTCCCGAGCACTTAATTTTTAAATATATTTTATTCTAAAGGCAGTCCATGCCTGTTGTAACTAACCACAAGAATCAGAAACAAACTGAATGTTTGTGTACCTGCTGGTGCAGCTGTATTTTCTTCTTGATGACACACAGTGCCTCTTTTGGGCCCTGAGCACCTGTCCATTAGGGGACCTCTCCTCAGGGACTGTGAGCACGGGGCCCACCCCCTTCGAGCACAGGAACCCCTGCAATTGCTGTGAGTAGGCTTCCAGCCAGCCCCTCCCAGAAGCAGCTGTGTCCCCCTTGGCCCTTCCTGTCTGGGCCACGGGCTATTTTTAGCACTGAAGCCGGAACCCACACAGCAGCAGCTGCTTGTGGCCGGAGCGCAAGAACAACAAACCATCCAGGTGGGTTGTGTCAGGCTGCAGAGGGAGCGGCCTGGGCCTGGCCCTCTGAACCTGGTAGCAGAATCTGGACTTTCCAGGAATAAGCTGGTCTCTGGGTGGGATGGGGAGGGAGGAAGCAGAATGGGGCAGAGGATGGGTTGCACTAACCAGGCCAGGATAGGGGAAGGGCCTGTGCAAAGGCCCTGAGATAGCTGGGGGAGAGGAAGAGAGCAGAGGAGAGAAGGTGAAGGAGGCAAGGAAGAAGAGGTTGCTTGTGATGGGAGGGAGGAGCAGGGCCAGGCCAGGCAGAGGTGTGTCGCCTGTGGTTTCTGTCCTAATCAGATGAGCAGGGGAGGAGAGTGGTGGCTGCAGTGGCTCACATTAACAGTGAGGGAGCGGGAGGGTCAGGATGGCTGAAGCCACAGGCCTCAGTGAATGCTCGGTAGTGGGGGTGAAGGTAGGCGGGCTCCTGGCCTGCCCTGCGTGGGGGACAGTGAGCCCCCACCGGGCAGACATGGGTGAATGGCCAGTAAGGGAGGGAGACCACTCGTTGAATTGGGCAGGTGAGCTTGGGGTGCTGTGGGGTGGAAGCCCTCCCTGCCCTCCACCCAGTCCTCCCAGCTCCTTCCCTCCTGTGGCCCTGGTCATTCCTGCTTCATGCAGAGGGGCTTCTGTTGCCCACATAACAGCCCTTCTGCCCCTGGTCTCTGCTGTGGAGCTGGCACACGCAGGGCCTTGGTAAACAGGGAACCCTGTGAAGACAGACCTGGACTCCAGGGCTGGAGCTGCAGCCTCGGGGCTGGCATTGTGACCTGGCCACTCCCTTCCCTCTCTGGTTCTCAGTGTCCCCGTCTGTGAGGTGGGGGTCAGAAGGGTCCACGTGTAGAGTCTCTTTCAGCTCCAAGGTTGTACTCTGATCTAGAATGAGGCTATCAGAGATTTCTGGGAGGAAGCCCCTTCCTGTAACAAACACTGCTGGCCTCCCCATCCAAGGCCCATCTCTGCTATGAATGAGTGAATGCGTGTGAGCAAGAATGCACCAACAGAGGAAGCTGGAGGGCCCCGCCAGTCGTCTCCGCCTGATCTGTTCCTCGCTGTCTCCTCTCAGCCAGGAGCTCTCATGGGCCTATGGTCAGGAACAGCCACAGAAGCCTGCAGGGCTGGGGAGGGAGTCGCTGTGGGTACCTGCAGGAGCTCAGCTTCTGGCCAGGGGAGGAGACACTGAATCCCATACCAGGCAGGGAGTGGAAACACACTGGTGAGTGGTCAAGGGCAGCCGTGGGGCAGGAGAGCTCCTGATGAGGACAGTAGGAGGAGGGGATGTGCTAGGCAGGGAGAAAGGCTTGAGCAAAAGTGGGGAGGCAGGAATGGGCCCGTGTGCTGCTCATGGACTAGGCAAGGACCCGTGAAGGGCGGGAGATCATAGCCTCTCAGTGATCCATAGCCAGACTACACCATGGCTTTTACTAAACTCACTGAAGCTTCATCACCACCTGATGAAGTAGGTTACTATTCCAGATGAGAAAATAGGCTCAGAGAGGTTAAGTAACCTGCCTGAGGACACACAACTAAAGAGGCACAAAATCAGCAGTCCTGGCCTTGCCACCATGACGGGTGATGGAAAGGACCCATGCGGAGGAAGTGAGCTATCCCTGATCCCATCAATGGGGCACAGAAGCGTGGGGGTGTCACCAACCAGCTAACGCTGTGCAGCCTCAGACCCTTTTCCAGCTCTGGTTTGGAGGTGAGACCTTCTTGCAGCCTCTGGGCTCCCAGGGAGTGTCTCCAACATGAGACTCCACTCACGAGCTGCTTCCCTGCTGTCTGGGCCTCGTTTTACTGTCTCTGACCCTTCATGGCTGATGAAACCGTCCCCATTCAGCCCCCAGCAGCCGGACCTGCCCGAGCCTGTGTCCTGACTGTCATGACCTAGAGCAATTGCCAGGAATTCCCACTTCCTGCTGTGGCCGCTGCCAGAATGTCAAAGCCACCTCCGGCCAAGCACCCCAGAGCTCCAGAGCATCTGGTGGGGGCCTCCCCCTCCCCCGCCTCAGCTATTTTCAGGCTCAGCGCTGTGGGCGGTGTTTGGGGAGAAGCAGATTATCTGTTTGGCAGAGTCAGCCATCTGGCAGGGTCAGGGATGTGAGTTTACAGAGATAGAACCTGAGACAGCTCTGCCTTGGACTTCGAAAAAGCTGGGCGGAGTGGCGTGTGGCTGTAGTCCCAGCAGAGGCAGGAGGATTGCTTTAGCCCTGGAGTTTGAGGCCAGCCTGGGCAACAGCGTGACACTCCATCTCTACAAAAGGAAACCAATCTTTAGGGACTCGGGCCACCACTCTGGAAGGCCCTGCCCAGGACTAGTGACTCAGAGCCATGGTCTGGTGGAAGGAGAGTTTCAGAAAGGCCTGGGTTCAGCTGGGCGCGGTGGCTCCCGCCTGTAATCCCAGCACTTTGGGAGGCTGAGGCTGACAGATCACCTGAGGTCAGGAGTTCAAGACCAGCCTGACCAACATGGAGAAAACCTGTCTCCACTGAAAATACAAAATTAGCTGGGCGTGGTGGTGCATGCCTGTAATCCCAGCTACTCGGGAGGCTGAGGCAGGAGAAGCGCTTGAACCCGGGAGGCAGAGGTTTCCGTGAGCTGAGATTGCGCCACTGCACTCCAGCCTGGGTAACAAGAGCAAAACTCCATTTCAAAAAGAAAAAAAAAAAAAAGTAAGGCCTACGTTCACCACACCTCCCACCTGGCTTGCATCCACTGATAGCCCCAACAAGCAGCCAGGCCCTGCTCCCATGAGGGGCATGCTCCCCATGCCAGGTGATTATCCAGCCGCTGGGATGGGAGGCTCCTAACAGTGGGCTGAGATGAGAACCCAGGTGACCCATCCTCTCACAGTGACACTACCAGAGCCTCTGCCTCCACGTCCTCCTCCAAACACTCACCCAGCCCTCCAGTGCCCTTTACCTTCATGAGATTAGGAGGGCCTCTTTAAGAAAATGAATGCAAAACAGCCAGGCACAGTGGCTCACACCTGTAATCCCAGCACTTTGGGAGGCCAAGGTGGGCAGATCACCTGAGGTCAGGAGTTCAAGAGCAGCCTGACCAACATGGCGAAACCCTGTCTCTACTAAAAACACAAAAATTAGTCAGGTGTAGTGATACGTGCCTGTAATCCCAGCTACTTGGGAGGCTGAGGCAGGAGAATTGCTTGAACCCAGGAAGCGGAGGTTGCAGTGAGCCGAGATCGCGCCATTGCACTCCAGCCTGGGCAACAAGAATGAAACTCCGTCTCAAAAAAAAAAAAAAAAAAAAAGGAAAGGAAAGAAAAAAAGAATAATGCAAAACAAATACAAGATTAGGTTGCAAAGTGAGTATTTGAAATGCAAACAAATGACAAATTTGGTTGCCCCTTTGGAGAGAAGAGAAAACCGAGGCTGCGGCACAGCACAGGGAGGGTTTTCTTGAAGTGGTGAGGGCAGACGCAGGAAGGCACACCTGTTCCACTGCTTGCACATCCCAAACCTGCAGAAGGTGGTCTAGCCACAGCAGACTGGCTGCTTTGGTGTCTCCCCACCCCCTTCCAAGGGGCCCTGCTTAGAGGCCCCCCCTTCGCCCCAAGGAATGCAGGCGTCAGTGCTTCAGACTCTGGCCTAACCACCGTCCCCACCTCAGGCCCCCACCCTTTCCCTCCAGATGTGGGCACCGCTGTATTTTTAGAACAGCCGACCACGAGGACATTCTTTCCTTCTAATTAAGATGGCTTCAAATCTCTCATCTGCAATCAGCCCCATTGTTCGGTCCTCAAACATCAAAGGGTGACCAGGAGGGGCCGCCTCAGCTGGTTGTGGGGTTAGGGTTTGTTTTCTTTCTTTCTTTGTCTTTGAACTATTAACGCTGGAAATGAGACCCAGAACCGGAGTAGATGCCAGCTCTGAAGAGGAGGATGAAGCAGGGCTTTGGGTAGTTTGCAGGACCTGCCTCTCTGCACCCCTGCACCCCAGTCAACCCCAACCTTGACTGGCGTTGTCCAGCTAGGCGGCAGCCCTCCAGCACACCGGTCTGAGGTTAGGGTCTGTCTGGGAAAACTGGGGGATCAAAAAAGGCCCTGTGTTGGCTGGGGGTGGTGGCTCTCGCGTGTAATCGCAGTGCTTTGGGAGGCCAAGGCAAGCAGATCACCTGAGGTCAGGAGTTCGAGACTAGCCTGGCCAACATGGTGAAACCTCGTCTCTACTAAAAATACAAAAATTAGCTGGGCATGGTGGCTCACGCCTGTTAATCCCAGATACTCGGGAGGCTGAGGCAGGAGAATCGCTTGAATCCCGGAGTCAGAGGCTTCAGTGATCATCAGGACTCCTGACCTCTGCCCCCTGCCCCGCAGGAGGCTCCTGGTGTGGGACAGAGATGCCCACCCACGTGGGGGGAATAGGAAAGGCTGCAGGAAGGAATGGCCTCTGGGTAGCCTTGAACCGTGTTGCAGTCCTCCGTGCTACAGCGCTCTCAAGCCCACTGACAGATGAGGAAACCGAGGCTCAGAGAGGCCAACAGGCTGGCCTAGAGCTGCTCAGCCCACTAGTAGTGAGGTGCTCAGGAACGCTAGGTCCCCGCTGTCAGCCATGCCCCGCCCCGCTCACTCACCCCCAGGGATGGACCGGGCCAGCTGCTGCCTGAGTCTTGGCTTCAGGTAGGAGGCACCTGTCCCACCCCGCAAGGAGCAGAGACGAGAGCCACGCAGGCGGTCTGAGGCCGGCGGGAACTGGCATCGGGTTTCTCAGCTCCCCGGGGTCCTGGCCCACCTGGTCCCGCGCGGCTAGATGTGAGGACAGGGGAAGTGAAATCGCACCGGGGCGGGTGGCGCAGGACCGGAGGCTGCAACCCAGTACAACGGCCAGGACTTGAGCGCCCAAGGGCTGAGGGGCAGCCAGGGCAAAGCAGAAAGGGGAGGCTCCCCAGATGAAGTGCCCCCTACCCAGCGGCGCTTGGGTGCAGGCCTCCGTTTCACCGCCAGCACTGAACTTTCGCGAGTCTTCGGCGATCGCTGGTGCCAGGTTCCGCAGAGCCCGGGCTCTGTCGCCCCCTCGCGGCCGGAGCCGGTCTAGGCGGCGTCGGGGAAATCCCGAAAAGCCTGTGGGGAAGAAGCTGAACGCCAGCGGCACCCGGGCGCGGTGAGCCCATTCATTCCCCGAGGACTGGGAAAGTCTCCATCAGGAGGTGGAATCCCTGGGAGACGCCCAAGCCGGGCCCCGCCTCCCTAGGCCCGGGTAATGGGCATTTTGTAAGACACTTCGGGGACAGGGAGGCACCCCGCCAGAAGAGCCGGTGGGCTCCGGGGTGGGGTGCGGGCCGAGTGGGAGTCAGTATCACCAGCGGGCTGCGCTGGATTGATTGTTTTTGTTTATATATTTCTTAATATTTATTTATTTATTTTTGAGAGAGAGTTTTGCTCTGTTGCCCACGCTGGAGTTCAGTGGCACCATCTTGGCTCACTGCAACTTCTGCATCCCCGGCTCAAGTGATTCTCCTGCCTCAGCCTCTCGGGTAGCTGAGATTACAGGCACCCACCACACACCTGGCTAGTCTTTGTGTTTTTAGTAGAGATGAGGTTTCACCATATTGGCTAGGCTGGTTTTGAACTCCTGACCTCTGGTGATCCGCCTGCCTCAGCCTCCCGCAGTGCTGCAATAACAGGCATGAGCCACACCGCCCGGCCTGCATTGATTGTTTTTAGTTTGAGCTGCACTCCTCCCTGTTTCCTGCTTGTGCCAGGGCAGATCTCTGCTGGCTCTAGGCCTCAGTTTTCCCATCCTTGAAGAGGCCCTAGCATGTAGGAAGGTGTGTGAGCAGCTGGTGGTTGTGGGCAGTTCACCTCCATCTCCACCTTCTCACCTGGGAAACAGACTCGATGAGAATCAATGCAGAAAGCCAAGGGCTGGAAGAGTCAGGGGGTGTTCTTTTGACCCCTCCCCCAGTGCCTTCCACTCATGAGGTTTGGCCCCGCTGTTGGGGTGAGGCCGTCGGGGAGCCCCAGCCTGAGGGTCAGCAGGCTGACCCTGGCAATGTGAGGAAGACCAGCTCTGCCAGCCGGGCTGTAGGGCTGGTGCGGGCACGGGCTTGGCCTCGTGGAGCCTCAGGGACTCTCCCTGTAAATGAGGTTGACATCCACATGCAGGTAGTTGCACCTAGCACTGCACAGGACGGATGTGAGCACCAGGCTGCTACAAATACAGCTGTGACTTTCACATGCTCAAGGTTAAACTCCCAGTCAATGTTTGCTGAGGTGTAACCTAGAGCTTCCTGGCCAAAGGATAATAATGGCTGGGGAGCCCACACATGGGGACCTGTCTCCAATGAGATGGGGGTGGCTTTAGGGCATCCAAGAGGCACTTCAGGGAGAATCAAGGGACAGCCAGGTATCGTTAATGGTGGCCAGATCAGGGTCCAGTCTGGCAGGGTCTTGGATTCAAGGTTAAACCGAGTTCTAAATTTGGAACTTATCCCCAGGCTCACCCCCAGGCTTTTACTATGTAGACATGTATTCCCACACACATCAGGTACAGTTTTGTATATTTCCAAACAATATATAGGCATAATAGTGTATGTGTCTTTCTTTTTTTGCCCAGGTTGGAGTGCAGTGGCGCCACCTTGGCCCACTGAAAACTCTGTCTCCCAGGTTCACGCTGTTCTCCTGCCTCAGCTTCCTGAGTAGCTGGGACTACAGGCTCCCGCCACGACGCCCGGCCTTTTTTTTGTATTTTTAGTAGAGACAGGGTTTCACCATGTTAGCCAGGATGGTCTCAATCTCCTGACCTCGTGATCCGCTCGCCTTGGTCTCCCAAAGTGCTGGGATTACAGGTGTGGGCCACTGTGCCCGGCGCGTATGCGTCTTTCTGCAACTTTGTTCATGCAGCGTTGTGATTCATACATGTTGATATCGTTTGTCTAGTCTAGTCCACTGATTTTCACTGATGAGTGGTATTCTATCATATTCCACAGCTTATTTCCCCTTTTTTCGGAGGATTGACATTTGGGCTGTTTCCAGTTTTCCTATAGTACAAACGATGCTGCATTTGTGAACAGTTCTTGAACGTGGGATTAAGAGTTTCTCCAAGGTAAACCCAGGAGTGGAATTGCTGGGTGTGAGACGTAGGTGAATCAACTTCCTTGATCTGCCCAAATTGCACTGATTTACATTTTCCCTCCCTCTCTCCCTCCCTCCCTCTCTCTCTCTCTCTCTCTCTCTTTTCTTTGTTTTTTTGAGATAGTGTCTTACTCTGTCACTCAGGCTGGAGTGCAGTGGTGTGAACATGGCTCACTGCAGCCTTGACCTCCTGGGCTCAAGCCATTTTTCCCACCTCAACCTCCTAAGTAACTGGGACCACAGCTGTGTGGTATGCCACTGTGCCCAGATAATTTTTAAAAATAAATTATAGAGATAGGGTCTCACCACATTGCACAGGCTGGTCTGAAACTTCAGCCTCAAATGATCCTCCTATTTTGGCCTCCTAAAGTGCTGGGATTACAGGCATGAGCCACTACACCTGGTACCAATTGACATTTTCATCAATAGTACATGCGTGTTCCAACTGATTGCCAGCACCACTTGGTATTGCCAGAATTAAGCTGTTACTCTGTTGAGTGGGAACCAGTATGCTGATGTGGATTTAATTTGCATTTCCTGATTACTAATGCAGCTATCTTTTAATTAGTTTTTTGGTCACTTCAGTTTCCTCTTCTGTAAATTCCCTGTTCACATCTTTTTTTTTTTTTTTTTTTTTGAGACAGAGTCTCACTCTATAGCCCAGGCTGGAGTGCCGTGGCACAATCTTGGCTCACTGCAACCTCCGCCTCCTGGGCTCAAGTGATCCTCATGCCTCAGCCTCCCGAGTAGTTGGGACTACAGGCCAAGCCACCATGCCAAGCTAATTTTTTGTATTTTTTGGTAGAGATGGGGTTTAATTTTTTGCATTTTTTGGTAGAGATGGGGTTTAATTTTTTGCATTTTTTGGTAAAGATGGGGTTTAATTTTTTGTATTTTTGGTAGAGACAGGGTTTTACCATGTTGCCCAGGCTGGTCTCGAACTCCTGAGCTCAAGCGATCCGCCCCGCCTTGGCCTCCCAAAGTGCTGGGATTATAGGCATGAGCCACTGCGCCAAGCCTGTTTGCCCATTTTCTTTTCCTTATTGGTATGTGGGTATTCTATATACATTCTGAATACTAATACTTTGTTGATCATATGTTGTAGATACCTTCTACTTGGTGGCTTTAGGTTTCACCTTTTAAAAAATATATATATTTTTTTATTTACATATTTATATATTTTAAAATATATAAATATATATAAATATATATTTTTAAAATATATAAATATATATAAATATGTATTTTTAAAATATATATATTTAAAATATATAAATATATAATTTAAAATATATATGTATTTTAAAATTATATATTTTTAAATATATATTTATATATTTAAAATTATATAATTTTAAAATATATATTTATATATTTAAATATATATAATTTTAAATATATATTTATATTTTAAATATATATAATTTAAAAATATATCTATTTAATATTTATATATATTTAATATATATATAAAATAAATATATATAATAAATATAAATATATATTTTAAAATATATATATTTTAAAAATATATATATTTTAAATTGAAATGTGGTCTCACCACATTGCCAGGGCTGGTCTTGAACTCTTGAACTCAAGTGGTCCTCCCACTTTGGCCTCCCAAAGTGCTAGGACTACAGGCTGGAGCCACCGCACCTGGCCAGGTTTCACCTTTTCATGGCGTCTTTTGTTCATTTGAGACAGGGTCTTGCTCTGTTGCCCCGGTTGGAGTGCAGTGGTGTGATCACCAATTACTGCAGCCTCCCAAAGTACTTGGATTACAGGCATAAACCACTGTGCCCGGTCCATTAATGGTGTTTTTTGACACACAGATTTTTAATTTTAATGAAGTTAAATCCTCATAAGAAATCTGCATGGTTTATCCTTGTTTATCCTGAGGTTATAAAAGTATTATATATTTTCTTTTTTTTTTTTTTTTTTTTTTGAGATGGAGTTTCACTCTGTCGTCCAGGCTGGAGTGCAGTGCCATGATCTTGGCTCACTGCAACCTCTGTCTCCTGGGTTCAAGTGACTCTCCTGCCTCAGCCTCCTGAGTAGCTGGGACTACAGGCATGTGCCACCACACCCAGCTAATTTTTGTATTTTTAGTAGAGATGGGGTTTCGTCATGTTGACCAGGCTGGTCTGGAACTCCTGACCTCAGATGATCCACCCACCTTGGCCTCCCAAAGTGCTGAGATTACAGGTATGAGCCACCAGGCCTAGCCTCCTAATTTTTTTTTTTTTTTTTAAATAGAATCTTGCTCTATCACTCAGACTTGAGGGCAGTGGCACAATAATGGGTCACTGCAACCTCAACCTCCCTCACTGCAATCCTCCTACCTCAGCCTCTGAAGTAGCTGTGACCACAGGAGTGCTCTATCACACCCAGCTATTATTATTATTATTTTTTTTGAGATGGAATCTCGCACTGTGGCCTGAGCTGCAGTGCAGTGGTGCAATCTTGGCTCACTGCAACCTCCGCCTCTAGGGTTCAAATGGTTCTCCTGCCTCAGCCTCCCAAGTAGCTAGGATTACAGGCACCCACCACCATGCCCAGCTAATTTTTTGTATTTTTAGTAGAGATGGGGTTTTACTGTGTTGGCCAGGCTGGTCTCAAACTCCTGACCTCGTGATCCGCCCGCCTCAGCCTCCTAAAGTGTTGGGATTACAGGCGTGAGCCGCCTCGCCAGGCCTTTACTTTTTTTTTTTTTTTTTTTTTTTAATAGAGATGAGGGTCTGCCCGTGTTGCCCAGGCTCATCTTGAACTCGTGGGCTCAAGTGATCCACCTGCCTCAGCCTCCCAAAGTGCTGGGATTACAGGTGGGAGCTACTGCATCCAGCCTAAAATGCTTAAAGTTAGGTTTTTGCATTAGGTTTGTGTGCACCTGGAATGACTTTTGTATATGAAGTGAGACAGAGGTCCAGTTTTCATTTTTCCCCATATAATCAATTGTCCTAGAGCCATTTATTAGCCCGTCACTTCCCGCTTTTTTTTTTTTTTTTTTTTGTGAGAAAAGAGTCTTGCTCTGTCACCCAGCCTGGAGTGCAATGGCCGGATCTCAGCTCACTGCAAGCTCCACCTCCCAGGTTTACGCCATTCTCCTGCCTCAGCCTCCCGAGTAGCTGGGACTACAGGCGCCCGCCATGTCGCCCGGCTAGTTTTTTTTATTTTTCGTTTTTGAGGGGGAGGCTTGCTCTGTCCCCCGGGCTGGAGTGCAGTGGCCGGATCTCAGCTCACTGCAAGCTCCGCCTCCCGGGTTTACGCCATTCTCCTGCCTCAGCCTCCCGAGTAGCGGGGACTACAGGCGCCCGCCACCTCGCCCGGCTAGTTTTTTGTGTTTTTAGTAGAGACGGGGTTTCACTGTGTTAGCCAGGATGGTCTCGATCTCCTGATCTCGTGATCCGCCCGTCTCGGCCTCCCAAAGTGCTGGGATTACAGGCTTGAGCCACCGCGCCCGGCCGCCCGGCTAGTTTTTTGTATTTTTTGTATTTTTTAGCAGAGACGGGGTTTCACCGTGTTAGCCAGGATGGTCTCGATCTCCTGACCTCGTGATCCACCCGTCTCGGCCTCCCAAAGTGCTGGGATTACAGGCTTGAGCCACCGCGCCCGGCCTTTTTTTTTTTTTTTTTTGAGATGGAGTCTTGCTCTATCGCCCAGGCTGGAGTGCAGTGGCACGATCTCGGCTCACTGCAAGCTCCGCCTTCCGGGTTCACGCCATTCTGCTGCCTCCGCCTCCGGAGTAGCTGGGACTACAGGCGCTTGCCGCCACGCCTGGCTAATTTTTTGTATTTTTAATAGAGATGGTGTTTCACCATATTAGCCAGGATGGTCTCGATCTCCTGACCTCGTGATCCGCCCGCCTTAGCCTCCCAAAGTGCTGGGATTACAGGCGTGAGCCACCGCACCCGGCCACTTTCCACTTACTTTTTAAGGGGGAAAAGGCAATGGTTGTTTTGAAAAAAATTAACCTATCTAAATAAAATATCAGCAGTTGAAACTAACAATGTATATTACAACAGTATTATGACCAAGTTGCCGCTACCCCAAGAATTCAAGAATGGTTTACCATTAGGAAGTTTATTGATGTAACTGATCTCATTAACAGATTTAAAGAATACCCATATGATCATCTTAATAGATGCAGGAAAATCATGCAATAAAATACCTATTTATGATAACTGCTAATATTTTATTTGTGCTTTTCCTTAAAAATGCAGTGTTTTTAGGAATTGAAGTTCAGAGCAGCAAAAGTCAAACAAAAACCAAGTCTGAGCAATAGAGCTATACTAGAATGCCCATCACATTCTTTGCTCAGATGACTACTTAAGGTCATGTTCAGCTCTATGTTTCTGTGACCACAAATAGCATCTTTGGCAAATCTGGTTTCAGTTGGTCTTTGTCCAGCTCCTGGATTCCATGCAGGGCCTGAGAAGCCCTCAAGGATAAAAGATTAATCCGGTCCAGTGGACTCCGTGGTTCCTCAACTCCAAGTGCCCCCACCATAGGTGGGACCTGCCTCTCACGCAAAGGATCCCTGGCGGCAACCCGAGACCAGTTCAGACCGGTTCTCCTACCCGCATTCAGCCGAGTCTCTCGCTCTGCCCAGGACGCACAGATGAGAGCGCTCAGCAGACTGGTGGGTCTGTCTTTCGGTCCTTCCTAATTTTCCCCTCCTCTGGGGAAAGGTCAAGGATACCTGAACCCAAGTGTCTGGCGGGGTGTGTGGGGGGGTGCATCTGTGCACAATCAAGGGCTTGGCCTTCCAGAGAGCGCCCAGGGGCAGGGGCCTCCTAGGTTCTGGCGGCCAGCAGGGGCGACCGGAGCAGGGGGTCGCGCAGGATTGCGGCTGAGGTCCCACCAGCGAGAGACAGAAACCCTCAGACATTTAGTCCAGAGACTGCAGCAAGGGAAGGGGACGAGGGGCCAGGGCCGGAATTTCGGGGGAGGACTTGGGAGCGCAGCAACCAGAGTCGTTTGCCGGCACCTGCGGGGGCGAATGCAGGGGCTTGGCCGAGATGACCTTGGACCAGAGCTCCCTTCCGGCCTGCAGAGATGAGCTTGGGATTTGGCTTAGTGAGGAGTGAGCAGCTTTTCAGCCGCAGTGCTGCGGAGGAGGCGGATGGAGGATGAACTGGAGCCGTCCTTACGGCCTCCGACGCAGGTGAGCCCCCAGCAGCGGCGACCCCCCCCCCGCACGGTGGCGACAAACCCCGCGCCACCGCGGCGGCGACCCCCTCCCCCACCGCGGCGGCAAGCTCCCCAGCCAGCACCGGCAGCAACTCTCAACACGCTGCGGGTCCGCGCTTGCGCCTCAGGCGCCCTCCGCGACAGTCTAACGGCTCTGCGCTCCACTGCGCCTGCGCTTGAGTCTCAGGCCCCATTCCCGTCCACTGGTTAGCGTTGTGCGAACCTTCAGCTTGTGCGGCCGCTCTCAATACCCACTGCGCTTGCGCTACCGTTTTGTCTCGACTGGTTTGCGCCTCTCAAACGCTTACTGCGCTTGCGCTAGCCCCTCTTTCACAGCTGGGTACAGCGCGCTGACCTTCCTCCGCGCGCATGCGCCCGGTTAACCGCTTGGTAATGGCAGCTAGGGTCTCCGTGGGACAGCAAGACTTCCGCTCAGGCCCCTCTTCCGAATGCTCCATGCCCTCCTGCGATCTGGAATGGTCTGAATTCTCATACCTGCCCAGACCAGGCATTTCAGATGAGGGATTGCGGACCTGAGTGAACTGCGCATGTATAGCCACCTTGGAGGCTTCACTAAGTCCTCAAATGTTCAAAAACATCGTGCTTGTATGTACAGTGGCGTTAGGTGCTAGGCTCAGATGTCCATAGGCAGGTGTTTACGTCCAGGGTCGGCCTGTGGGCCAGAGCAAGGTTGCTGGACCCTGGCACCCCAGCCCCCAGAGATGCTAAATCCTCTGCCGATCAACCCTGACCTCAGAGGCAGTAAGCCCTCCGAGCACGGCAGTCCTGACCGCTCACTCCTTCCCGTGACTGTTTCCCACCCTCGCCTCTTTCCTTCTCATGCTCCCTCAGCTCTGACCTGGCGTCCTGCCTCACAGAGGGAAAGGGCGCAGCCAGAGGAGAGCGCCTGCACTGCCCACCACTTCTATGGGTTCCTCCCCATTCTGGACTGATTTCTTTAGGTATTTGCATGGCACATTCCCTCACCTCCTTTGTCTTCATTTGCACTTGTATTCCTTGACAGCCCTATTTAAAATAGTACCAACTGAGGTGGGAGGATCGCTGGAGCCCAGGAGTTTGAAGCTGCAGGGATCTAGTAGGATCTCACCACTGCACTCCAGCGTGGGCGACCTAGCGAGACCTTGTCTGTAAAAAATAAAAATAAAATAGCACCACCTGGTCCTAACACTTCCTACGCCCCTTCCCTGCTTTAAGTCTCTGTAGCACCAGCTGATGTACTATATATTTTGCTCGTTCATTTTGCGATTGCTTGTCTTTCCCTGCTGGAAGGAAAGCTCTGATAGCTCATTGATTTTGTCTGTTGTTCACTGCTGTATCCCAACACCCAGAACAGTAGGATTATTGACCATAATAGGGAGGCAATAAATCTTTGTTTGCCGAATTAATAATGGTCCATATCATAGCTAATGTCTGAATGTTTACCATGACCAGGCACGGTGTAGGCAATCTCCATGCATGATCTCATTGAATTCAACAATTTCCTGTAGTCTTAGAGACCTGTCAACATCTCCTGCTACATGAGTTCAGCTGCTATCAAGCACTGTGTTCCTTGCTTCCTTCAGATCTACTGTCTTAAGGGAGCTCTCACTTCCATGAAGCCCCCGTGGAGCTGTAATGTGGCCCCAAAGGTACCAGACTCCAGGTTTCTCACCTCGCTTCTTCCTAAGGCTTCCAGCCTAAGAGAAAGTTACTTAGGCCTTATGGGAACTATGGGCAGCCAGGGCCCCTGTCACCAACCTGTCTCCAGACCTATGGCAAAGCCTTCAGCAGGATTCTGCCCTTCAGAGCCACTTCCTCTGCTCCCCCACCCTCCAGTGCAGTAGTATCTCACTGAATGGTGAAAGCACAACTGGCTCTTTCCCAGCTATATCTTGCCCCCCCAGCACACTTCCTGGCTGAGATAAACATTCAGTATCTTTCTCTCTCTCTTTTTTTTTTTTTTTTTTTTTTTTTTGAGATAGAGTCTCACTCTATTGCCCAGGCAGGAGTGCAGTGGCACAATCTGGGCTCACCGCAACCTCTGCCTCCCGGATTCAAGCAATTCTCCTGCCTCAGCCTTCTGAGTAGCTGGGATTACAGGTGCCTGCCACCATGCCTGGCTAATTTTTGTATTTTTAGTACAGATGGTGTTTTACCATGTTGGCCAGGCTGGTCTTGAACTCCTGACCTCAAGTGATCTGCCCACCTCGGCCTTCCAAAGTGCTGGGATTACAGGCATGGGCCATCACATCCGGCCAACACTCAGTATTTGACCAATGAATGAATAAATAGTCCATAGGTTCTAGAAACTTCAGAAAACCTTAGCCAAACATCCTTCTGTCATGAAAATTGTGTCAAAGTTTTCAAAGATAATACATTTAATTTTACAGAACAATTTGCCAGAACAAGAAAAGCAGTAATTTTTTGGGGAAGATACCAACGATTCAATTTTTGTAAAGTCAACTACTTTGCAAATATCTAGGAAAATACCTGAGGGAAGGAGTTCATTGTTGTGCCTTTGGAGGAGTTGGAGAACTTTCAGTATATACTGAATTTTCAAAAATCTTAATAAACGTGTCATTGTGTAATTAAAAATCACAAGAGTAGACCGGGTATGGTGGCTCACGCCTGTAATCCTAACACTTTTGGGAGGCCAAGGCGAGTGGATCGCTTGAGCTCAGGAGTTTGAAACCAGCCTGGGCAACATGGTGAAACCCCGTCTCTACAAAAAAATACAAAAAAAATTAGCCCAGCGTGATGGTGTATGCCTATAGTCCCAGCTACTTGGGGGGCTGAGGTGGACGGATCACTTGAGCCCAGGAGGTTGAGGCTGCAGTGAGCCAAGATCGCGACACTGCACTCCAACCTGGGTGACAAAATGAGACCTTGTCTCAAAAAAACAAAACAAAAAATCACAAAAGGAGAAAGATAAACAATTTTGTGAATCCCTCAGAAGACCTCAACTACAGGTTGGGTGCAGTGCCTCACGTCTGTGATCTCAGCACTTTGGAGGCCGAGGTGGGCAGATCACTTGAGGTCAGGAGTCTCTACCAAAAATACAAAAATTAGCTGGGCGGGGTGGTACATGCCTGCAATCCCAGCTACTTGGGAGGCTGAGGCGGGAGAATCACTTGGACTGGGAGGCAGAGATTGCAGTGAGCCGAGATTGCGCCATTGCACTCCAGCCTGGGCGGCAGAGCAAGACTCTGTCTCTCTCTTTTTTTTTTTTTTTGAGACAGAGTCTTGCTCTGCGCCCATGCTGTAGTGTAGTGGTGCGATCTTGGCTCGCTGCAACCTCCACCTCCCTGGTTCAAGCAGTTCTCTGCCTCAGCCTCCTGAGTAGATGGGATTACAGGTATCTGCCAACAAGCCTGGCTAGTTTTTTTTTTTGAGACGGAGTCTCGCTCTGTCGCTCAGGCTGGAGTGCAGTGGCACAATCTCGGCTCACTGTTTGCTTCCCGGGTTCACGCCATACTCCTGTCTCAGTCTCCCGAGTAGCTGGGACCACAGGCACCCGCCACCAGGCCCGGCTAATTTTTTGTATTTTTAGTAGAGACAGGGTTTTACTGTGTTAGCCAGGGTGGTCTCGATCTCCTGACCTGGTGATCCGCCCACCTCGGCCTCCCAAATTGCGGGGATTACAGGCGTGAGCCACCGCGCCTGGCCAATTTTTGTAGTTTTAGTAGAGATGGGGTTTCACTATCTTGGCCAGGCTGGTCTTAAACTTCTGACCTCGCGATCCACCCGCCTCGGCCTCCCAAAGTGCTGGAATTAGAGGTGTGAGCTACTGCGCCTGGCCAAGACTCCTCAAAAAAAAAAAAAAAAAAAAGAGAAAATCCCAACTACAAATGATGAGGCATTGGGGATGCCTTTGGGAATTCTCCCTCCATCTCTAAGAGTGTTTCACTGTCCTTTTGTGTACCAAGTGTGCATGACTCACGTGTACCCAGCCTAGAAGTAGGCTTCATTATCTCCAGGTCCAGGTAAGGAAGTGACTTAGGATGAGGAAGTAAGGGGAGAGCTGGGATAGGGACCAGGCACCTTGGCCATCTATGCTGCCTCTCTGCTGCTCCTATGTCCCCAAGTCGTTGCACCTGCAGGTCCATGTGGCCTCTTTTCTTAGCCTAGTTACAGAACATGCTGGTGGGAGGTAAGAGAAGGAGGCTCAGCCCAGATTCCTGGAGCCTGGCCACTCTGTTGGAGAACGTTTTCCAGGGGCAAGTCAGGGGTTCCTGTCCTGCTGGAGGCAGAGCTTTACTCTGCTGGGGCCCCAACTCAGGCGACTGTCTTTCCCAAACACAGCAGATGTGCTCAGGGGCAGCCCAACAAGGAGGGATGGGAACTGCTTTCCAGCTCAGGGAAACGTTGGGGCTATGGGTGGCGTGAGGGTAAAGTGGGGTCCTGGACTCAGAGCAGGAGGCCTGGATTCCTCTGCTACCTGTCAGCCGTGTGACCCAGGTTAACTCCTCTCTGAGCCTCACTTTCCTCATCTGCAAAGTGGAGACATCACTGCTTGATTCAGATAAATTGCAATGCTGTGATTGGCAGCTCTGGTCCAGGGAAAGGGGTGGAGGCTGTTGGTCACTCTGTGTTCTCCCCTCTCTCCTCAGATTCAGGGCAGGATCCTGCTCCTGACCATCTGTGCTGCTGGCATTGGTGGGACTTTTCAGTTTGGCTATAACCTGTCTATCATCAATGCCCCGACCTCGGTATGTATCCTCTCTGTGTCGACTGCCCGTTTCTGAGTGGGTACTGGCTAACAGCTGCCCACTGAGGGGCTTCAGCCAGGCATCCACTTGGTGGTGCTTTCTGCCACAAATTTGTCTCCATTGGGTTGGCCCACAGGTTCCTGCAGGTTCAAACTGAGCATACATCTTCCTCCAAACCTGCATGTCCTCCTGAGTCCCTAATCTCAGCGGATGACTCCATCTTCCACCTAGTGATGGGGGGGTCAGCGTTGACTTCTTTTCATCTCTTGGACACCAAGTCCTTCCTAACTACCTCTAGAATCCAGCCACTTCTCCCCATGTCTCCAGCACATTCCCAGTTCTGGCCCAGCCTCCTCACTGGCCTCCTTGCCTTCAGCCTCTCCCCATCTTGATCTCTTCAAGTCACTCCCCTGCTCAGAATTTTTTTTTTTTTTTGAGACGGAGTTTTGCTCTTGTTGCCCAGATTGGTTTGCAGTGGCGTGATCTCAGCTCACTGCAACCTCTGCCTCTTGGGTTCAAGCGATTCTCCTGCCTCAGCCTCCTGAGTAGCTGGGATTACAGGCATGTGCCACCACGTCCGGCTAATTTTGCAGTTTTAGTAGAGACGGGATTTCTCCATGTTGGTCAGTCTGGTCTCGAACTCCCAACCTCAGGTAATCCGCCTGCCTCAGCCTCCCAAAGTACTGGAATTACAGGCATGAGCCACCACACCCGGTCTCATGAATGTTATTTATAAAGTAGCCAGTGGAGGTTAAGTTTCCGTGTTCAGCGGCAAGGCCTTGAGCTACCAGGGCCTCAGCTTCATGGAAAAAGGAAGAAGAAATTTTAAAAAGCAAGCAGGGCAGGCAGATCGGACCAAATGAACCCCTCGGTTTCACTGTCTCACACCTTCGCTCCCCCAACCCTGATACCAAAGCAAGTTAAGTATAGTTCCTCAGATGCCTATGACATAGCCCTTCCTCTAAGCCTCCTTTCATGGAGGGGCCCTCTCTGTTCCACCTGTAGAAGCCCACCCCAGATACCACCACCTCCTTGAAACCTTCTTCCCTCTCCAGCCCTTGGTGCAGGCTGTCCTCACTCAGGCTGTGTGGAGGCTGTTTTGTGTCCATCTCCTCTCTCCTGCTGATTCGCTCTCAGCATCTGAGTCATCTTTGAATCTCCGGCACTTGATCGTAGCCTGACCCAAGCCAATGTTCTGTGAGTGTCTGTGGAAAGGATGGGTCTTTCAGCCCCAGTGATAGAAGCCTACCTCTAACTTGCTTAAGTAAGAACGGCAAGTACCTAGTCATAACTGGAAATGATGGGATATGGGGCTTCACACAGCTTTGGGGGAGAGCTGCAGGAACCAGGCCCCAGGACAGAACTGTGGCTGTCCTGCCCCTGATTTTCCTCTCTCTGTTTTTGTTTTTGTTTTTTTTTTTAGACAGAGTCTTGCTCTGTCACCCAGGCTGGAGTTCAGTCACGCAATCTTGGCTCACTGCAGCCTCTGCTCCGCCCCAAGCTCAGGCGCTCAAGCGATCCTCACACCTCAGCCTCCCAAGTAATTGGGACCACAGGCGTGTACCACAAAGCCCAGCTATTTCATTTGTATTTTTTAGTAGAGACAGGATCTCATCATGTTGCCCAGGCTGGTCTCGAACTCCTGAGCTTGAGTGGTCCACCCACCTCGGCCTCTTGAAGTTCTAGGATTACAGGCATGAGCCACCGTGCCTGCCTTGGCCTTGTTTTCATACCCAGTTGGAGAGCTGCTGTCACCAGATTCACTTCCTGCCAGCTGAGAACTCCCCCCACCAACAAAAGTCTTCCAGATTAGCTCATGTAGAAAGGCAGGGAAGAGCCTGAGGGGCTGGTTTGGTTTACGTGTCCACTCCCAGACCAGTAATGTGGTCAGGAGGCTGGGATGCTCGGATTGGCCAGATCTGGGCCAGGTGATCACCTTTATGGGGGAACCACGAGCTGTACTTGACATTGGAGAGAACTTCCTCCAAAGTAATATTTGTTAGCAGAAGATAGAGATGGGGATAGAAAGAATGATAGCAGCCCAGCCTCTTAAAGCAAGGATGAGAATTTAGAAAGGGAGGTCTGAGCTGGCTGCATTGGTTTATTTATTTATTTATTTATTTATTTATTTATTTATTTATTTGTTGAGATGGAGTTTTGCTCTTGTTGACCAAGCTGGAGTGCAATGGTGTGATCTTGGCTCCCTCTGTCACCCAGGCTGGAGCATGGTGGTGAGATCTCAGGTCACTGCAACCTCTGCCTCCCAGGGTCAAGTGATTCTCCTGTCTCAGCCTCCTGAGTAGCTGGGATTACAGGCGCCTGTCACCACGCCTGGCTAATGTTTTTGTATTTGTAGTAGAAATGGACTTTCCTCATGTTAGCCAGGTTGGTCTCAAACTCCTGACCTCAGGTAATCTGCCTGCCTTGGATTCCCAAAGTGCTGGGATTACAGGCGTGATGCATTGGTTTATTTATTCATTCATTCATCAAGCATTTGAGCACCCACTTCAGTGCACACTCAGACTAGAGAGGGGTCCATCCTGGGCTGGGCAGGTCACTCAGACCTTACCTCCCACGGCCATCACCAGCCCCCACAAAGGAGACTTTCCTAGGCTCAGAGGCTTCCCCTACCCTGCTGAATAGTGTTAAGTTCTAATTGTTAAAGAAAAAGTTATTCAGGCTGGACATGGTGGCTCATGCTTATAATCCCAGCACTTTGAGAGGCTGAGGCAGGCGGATCATTTGAGGTCAGGAGTTCGAGACCAGCCTGGCCAACATGATTAAACCCTGTCTCTACTAAAAGTAGAAATATTAGCTGGGCATGGTGGTGCGTGTCTGTGATCTCAGCTCCTCCAGAGGCTGAGGCAGGAGAATCGCTTGAACCCAGGAAGCGGAGGTTGCAGTGACCTGAGATCTCGCCACCGTGCTCCAGCCTGGGTGACAGAGGGAGACTCCCTCTCAAAAAAAAAAAAAAGAAGGCTGGGCGCAGTGGCTCACCCCTGTAAACCCAACACTTTGGGAGTCTGAGGCAAGTGGATCACCTGAGGTTGGGAGTTCCAGACCAGCCTGACCAACATGGAAAAACCGCATCTCTACTAAAAATACAAAATTAACCAGGCATGGTAGCATGTGCCTGTAATCCCAGCTACTTGGGAGGCTGAGGCAGGAGAATTGTTCAAACCCGGGAAGCAGAGGTTGCAGTGAGCTGAGATCGCGCCATTGCACTCCAGCCTGGGCAACAAGAGCAAAACTCCGTCTCAAAAACAAAAACAAGAACTATTCAATGACACTTGTCAAAGCACAGTAATGAAGACTTTATTCAAGAGGTGGCAAGCACTAGTTGGAGGGACCATGGCAATGGGGTCCAGCCCTGAGGCAGAAAGATTGGATTCAACTTCAAATACAGCATGGGCAAGTGAGAACTGATAGCCGAGGAGTAGAGTGGGGTCAGTGGGTGCACAATGACTAAGAGGATCATCAGGCGTTTGTGGGGGATTCTGGTTAAATTGACCCAACAGGATTCTTGTTGAGGGCAGGCCAGGGTAACCAGACATCATGGAGGATGGCAGAGGATAAGGAGGCCGATTAGATTTTGAAAGTGATCAGATGTGGAGGATGAGGATTCTAGCTAAATCAACTTAGCAGGACACTTGCTAAAACTGAACAAGGCAGAGATGAACACAGAAGTCCAAAAGTTGAGACCTAGTTGAAAAAGAGCTCAGAATACCGGGCGCAGTGGCTCACCCTTCTAATCTGAACACTTTGAGAGGCCGAGGTGGGAGGATTGCTTGAGCCCTGGAGTTTGAGATCAGCCTAAGCAACATTCAAGATCCAGTATCTACAAAGAAGTAAAAAAATATTCAACAGGGTGCAGTGGCATGAGCCTGTATTTGCAGGTACTTGTGAGGCTGAGGTGGGAGGATGGCTTGAGCCCAGGAGTTCGAGGCTGCAGTGAGCTATGATCATGCCACTGCACTCCAGCCTGGACAACAGAGGGAGACCCTGTCTTCATTTATTTTTATTTTTTTTGAGACGGAGTCTTGCTCTGTTGCCCAGGCTGGAGTGCAGTGGCCGGATCTCAGCTCACTGCAAGCTCCGCCTCCCAGGTTTACACCATTCTCCTGCCTCAGCCTCCTGAGTAGCTGGGACTACAGGTGCCCACCACCTCGTCCGGCTAGTTTTTTTGTATTTTTTAGTAGAGACGGGGTGTCACCGTGTTAGCAAGGATGGTCTCGATCTCCTGACCTCGTGATCCGCCCGTCTCGGCCTCCCAAAGTGCTGGGATGGAGACCCTATCTTTAAAAAAAAAAAGAGCTTAGGAAACTCTGAGGAGAATCTTTGTCAATGGTCACTCTTGAGGAGTTCCAGTCAATGTCAGGGGAAGCTGGCCCTGGTCCCAGCTCCTGTGGACAGTTCCTCCCCCGAGAGGCAGCTGGTGGGCACTAGGCTGACAGTCATTGCCCTGAGCTGGGCAGGGGAGAACTGGCCCAGCACCTGAACCCACTGCCCTCCCTTGTGTTCTGTTCTGTCGGGAGACCTGCAAATGACATTTCATTGCTAACCAAGAGAAGCGTGTCCATGTCTTCCCCACTTCTTTCCTAACCATGTGACTTCCTTCACTCACCTGAGGTTTGGAGTCTGGGGAGTCCAAACTACCTGGTACAACCCTGACCCATGGCTAAAGCTGTGAGCAAGTCACTTCACCTCTCCCTGAGCCTAATCCCCAGTCTTGACAGTGACCAAAGCTGAGCATGGTTGCTCATGTCTGTAATCCCAGTGCTTTAGGAGGCTGCCTCCCAAAAGTAGTGAAACCCCATCTCTACTAAAAAAATACAAAAAAATTAGCCGAGCCTGGTGGCGGGCGCCTGTAGTCCCAGCTACTTGGGAGGCTGAAGCAAGAGGATTACTTGCCAAGATTGGCGCAATCTTGGCTTGCTGCAACCTCCACCTCCTGGGTTCAAGCAATTCTTCTGCCTCAGCCTCGCAAGTAGCTGGGATTACAGGTGCCTGCCACCACACCTGGCTAATTTTTTAAAATATTTTTAGTAGAGATGGGGTTTCACCATGTTGGCCAGGCTGGTCTTGAACTCTTGACCCCAGGTGATCCATACATGTCTGCCTCCTAAAGTGCTCTGATTACAGGTGTGAGCCACCGTGCCTGGCCATGGAATTTCTTGAGTGATAGGAGCATCTTTTGTTATTTGCAATGAGCCCCATTTCATCATACCTGCGCGTATGCTAATGAGGTGACAGGGCAGGGCCACTAGACTGCCTCAGGATGGAGCTGTCACCAAAAAGACCAAGAGATTAGAGGGTCAGAATGTTCAGCCCCACTCACAGAACTCTGAAAAAGGGAGAGAAGCTGAAGATTAAGGTCTATAAAAGCTCTTGAACACAAGATTTGATGAGCTTCCAGGTTTGTGAACACATTGAGGTGCTGGGAAGGTGGTGCTCCTGCAGGGGACATGGAAGCCTCTAGCAACCTACTCCCCCAGGACCATGCCCAGTGCATCTTTCTCATATGGCTGTTCATGAGTTGTATCCTTCATAACAAACCAGTAAATGTAAGTAAAGGACCTTCCTGAGTTTTGTGAGCCATTGTTGCAAATTATCAAACCCACGGAAAGGGTCCTAGGAATCCCCAGTTGATGGCCAGTTGGTCAGAAGTGCAGGAGACCTGGTCTTGCAGTTGGCATCTGAAGAGGGGACAGTCTTGTGGAATGGAGCCCTTTGGCTTGTGGGATCTGATGCTAACTCCAGGTAGATAGTGTCAGAATGGGATTCCATTGTAGTACACCAGCTCGTGTCCGGAGAGTTAGAGAATTGCTTGATGTGGAAAAAATCCACACATTTGCTGTCAGAAGTGTTATGTGAGTAGGGAGAAAAAGTGTTTTTGCAGAGAGGGGCAAATGGGGCATGTCCAGTGCTAGGCTCTGAGGGATATTGAGGGATAAGAACCAGCATGGTGCCCTGCACAGGGGAAGTGCTCAGGTGAGTTGGTTCCTGCTCCACGGGGAGCTCAGAAGACACGGTGCCTGTTCTCATTGCCTGTTCTGCAGAAGCATGGAACCCTGATGGGGAGAAGGCTTGTCTAGTGCCCCCATGCCCCCATCCCCAGAAGGCTGACTGGCATTTCTGTCCACAGCACATTCAGGAATTCACCAATGAGACGTGGCAGGCGCGTACTGGAGAGCCACTGCCTGACCACCTAATTCTACTTATGTGGTCCCTCATCGTGTCTCTGTATCCCCTAGGAGGCCTCTTTGGAGCACTGCTTGCAGGTCCCTTGGCCATCACGCTGGGAAGGTAAGTGCTTCCTGTGTACCCCCTGAATGCCCTTTAATGAAGAGTGCTGCAGCCTGCAGGCTGAGGGACATGGAAGCAGGAAGAGGCCCGGCAAGCTCCAGGCCCAGATCAGCTCCTCATCCAGCCTCTTACTCTGCCTGGAGTTTCACCCTGTGAGACACATCTTCCAGGATTTGGTAGAGCAAATAGTCCTGTGCTACAAGAGAGGGAGGACTTCTGGTTTCTAATTTCATGTCTGCCAACAAGTGCTAACTGACCTAAAACAAGTATTTTCTTCCTGGGCCTCACTTTCCTCCTGCGTATCTAGTGCAGTTCTTGGATTGCAAACAACACAAACTAACTCTGATGAACAGAATCAAAAATGTATAGCTCGAAGGACATTGGGGCAGCTCATAGCATGAAAGGAAGTTCTTAGAAGCCAGGCCTGGCCAGGCAGGGTGGCTTACCCCTGTAATGCCAGCACTTTGGGAGGAATTACACTAAGGAGGAAAGATTGCATGGGTCCAGGAGTTTGAGACCAGTCTGGGCAATATGGTGAGACCCCATCTCTACAAAAAATTAGCCAGGTATGGGCTGGGCGCAGTGACTCATGCCCGTAATCTCAGCACTTTGAGAGGCTGAGGCGGGTGGATCACCTGAGGTCAGCAGCTTCAGATCAGCCTGACCAACATGGCGAAAACCCATCTCTACTAAAAATACAAAAATTAGCAGGGTGTGGTGGCACATTTCTGTAGTCCCAGCTACTCAGGAGGCTGAGGCAGGAGAATCACTTGACCCTATAAGGCAGAGGCTGCAGTGAGCCAAGATCATGCCACTATACTCCAGCCTGGGCGACAGAGTAAGACTCCATCTCAAAAAAAAAAAAAAAAGAAAAGAAAAAAAAATCAACCAGTTATGGTGACACATGCCTATGGACCCAGCTACTCGGGAAGCTGCAGCAGGAAGATCACCTGAGCCCAGGAGATCGACGCTGCAGTGAGTCTTGATTGTGCCACTGCACTCCAGCCTGGATGACACAGTGAGCCCCTGTCTCAAAACAGCTGGCTTACTAGCGATCTTAGTCTATTTTTGTTGCCATAACAAAATAACTGAGACTGGATGTATAAAGAACAGAAATTTACTTTCTCACAGTTCTGGAGGCTGTGAAGTCCAAGATCAAGGCACCAGCAGATTCAATGTATGGTGAGGGCTCCTCTTTCTGCTTCTAAGGTGGTTCTTTGTCCCTGTGTCCTCACATGGCAGAAAGGGCGCATGCTGTGTCCTCACATGGTGGAAGACAAAGGGGCAAAAGTCAAAAAGAGCCTGCCTAGTTCCCTCTAGCCCTTTTATAAAGCACTAGTCTCATCAATGAAGGTGGAGTTCTCATGGCCTGATCAATCTCCCAAAGATCTACCTCTAAATACTGTTGCATTGGAAATTAAATTTCAACCTAATTTTGGAAGAGACACAAACCATCAAACCATAGCACTAGCACAGGATCACCAAGACTGGATTAGACCACTGGGGCTCATATCTGCACCGTGGAGAGTAGGGGAATAATCACAAACAAAAGTGGGGCTCTTACCACGAAGATGGAGGTAATAACTATTGTGTGGCTATCTCATGGTACCTGGTTCAGCTGGCATAAGCATGAAAGGAAGAAATTAAAAATTCAAATTTAGGCCGGGCGTGGTGGCTCAAGCCTGTAATCCCAGTACTTTGGGAGGCTGAGGCGGGCGGATCACGAGGTCAGGAGATCAAGACCATGCTGGCTAACACGGTGAAACCCCGTCTCTACTAAAAATACAAAAAAAAAACTAGCCGGGTGAGGTGGCGGGCGCCTGTAGTCCCAGCTATTCGGGAGGCTGAGGCAGGAGAATGGCGTGAATCCGGGAGGCGGAGCTTGCAGTGAGTTGAGATCCAGCCACTGCACTCCAGCCTGGGCGGCAGAGCAAGACTCCGTCTCAAAAAAAAAAAAAAAAAAAAATTCAAATTTAGCACATATACCTATTCTGATTATGTCAAATGTCTGTTCCACTCCCCAGGACAGGGGGATGTAGTTCTTACATTCAGCAGCTGACTGGAGCTCTGAAATGTGTTGCCATCTTTGGGTGCTCAGGGTTGGTTGCGTAGGGGAACAGGTGGGTTAGTCATCTCGGTGCCAGGAAGCCCCTATTGTTGAGCCCATGGGCGTTTTCTGTGCTTTCTACCCTATTTGCTTTGTTTATCACCCAAGTGAGTAAGCACCAAGATGGTCAAGGAAGGCAGTTGAATGCCAGCTACGGATAGAAGGTCATATTGTCCATGATTATGCATGATTATGAAGAGCCTCTTTGCAGCAGGAAGGGGATTCTGATAAGCAGAAACATATTTATGTATATTTTCAGGTTATTTATTTATTTTTTTGAGACAGAGTTTCGCTCTTCTTGCCCAGGCTGGAGTGCAATAGCGTAATCTTGGCTCACTGCAGCCTCCGCTTCCCGGGTTCAAGCGATTCTCCTGCCTCAGCCTCCTGAATACCTGGAATTATAGGCGCCCGCTACCACGCCTGGCTAATTTTGTATTTTTAGTAGAGACGGGATTTTCCATGTTGGTCAGTCTGGTCTCGAACTCCTGACCTCAGGTGATTCGCCCACCTCGACCTCCCAAAGTGCTGGGATTACAGGCGTGAGCCACAGTGCCCAGCTATATTTTCAGGTTCTGGGCTAATTTTTTTTTTGAGACGGAGTCTGGCTCTGTCGCGCAGGCTTGAGTGCAGTGGCTGGATCTCAGCTCACTGCAAGCTCTGCCTCCTGGGTTTACGCCATTCTCCTGCCTCAGCCTCCCGAGTAACTGGGACTACAGGCGCCCGCCACCGCGCCTGGCTAGTTTTTTTGTATTCTTTAGTAGAGACGAGGTTTCACCGTGTTAGCCAGGATGGTCTCGATCTCCTGACCTCGTGATCCGCCCGTCTCGGCCTCCCAAAGTGCTGGGATTACAGGCTTGAGCCACCGCGCCCGGCCACTGGGCTAATTTTAAAAGATACACCCACTTAGTGTTTCCCTGTACCTCCTTGAAACCAGTCTTCAAATTCTGCTTCATCTAAGACTGTCTGTCCAACCAAACCTTTTGAAAAAGGGACAGGCCGGGTGCGGTAGCTCTCGCCTGTAATCCCAGCACTTTGGGAGACTGAGGTGGGGCGGGGGAGGTTCACCTGAGGTCAGGAGTTCGAGACCAGCCTGGCCAACATGGTGAAACCCCATCTCTACTAAAACTACAAAAATTAGCCGGGCGTGGTGGCGGACGCCTGTAATCCCAGCTACTCAGGAGGCTGAGGCAGGAGAATCACTTGACCCGGGAGGCAGAGGTTGCAGTGAGCCGAGATCATGCCACTGCACTCTAGCCCGGGCAACAAGAGTAAGACTCCATCTCAAAAACAAAAAAGAAAAGAAAAATAAAAAGAGGCAAAAGAAGTCCATGCTAGGCTGAGCGCGGTGGCTCACGCCTGTAATCCCAGCACTTTGGGAGGCCGAGGTGAGCAGATCATGAGGTTGGGAGGTCGAGACCATCCTGGCTAACACAGTGAAACCCCGTCTCTACTAAAAAAATACAACAAAATTAGCCGGGCGTGGTGGCGGGTGCCTGTAGTCCCAGCTACTTGGGAGGCTGAGGCAGGAGAATCACTTGAACCTGGGAGGCAGAGCTTGCAGTGAGCCCAGATTGCACCACTGCACTCTAGCCTGGGTGATAGAGCGATACTCGGTCTCAAAAAAAAAAAAAAAAAAAAAAAAAAAAAAGGTCCATGCTAAAAAATCTGTCTATAGGATAAGTTTAAGTCCTTCAATACCTTTTAGGTCCAAACTGATGTGAGTGACCTATTCATGGGAAACTTTGGGGCCCACATTGGGCAAGTTTGGTTTATACCACTTCTATTCAGTGATGGAGTAGTACAGGGCACACCCAACCTTAGTAGGAGGGTGTCATACAGCACCCAGTTGTGATAAGTACATGGCCCTGTGGCATCCCGCAGCCTGGTGTTTATTCCCCACTAGGGCCTAGTGACAAGGCCAGGAGCTCTTTCTCCTTAAGAGGGAGGATAGCAGGCTGGGCATGGTGGCTCATGCCTGTAATTCCAGCACTTTGGGAGTCCAAGGGAAGAGGATCTCTTGAGCCCAGGAGTTTGAGACCAGCCTGGGCAACATAGCAGAACCCCATCTCTACAAGAAAAAAAGAAAAAATTAGCCAGGCATAGTGGCATATACCTGTGGTCCCAGCTACTCAGGAGTCTGAGGTGGGAGGATCACTTGAGCCTGGGAGGTCGAGGCTTCAGTGAGCTGTTATAGCACCACTGCACTCAAGCCTGGGTGACATAGTGAGACCCCATCTCTAAATAAATAAATATATATATATAATTTTTTATATATATGAAAAAATATATATAATATGTATATATAAAAGAGGCTAGTAATTTGCTGAAGGAAAGTAGCTCAACTTAAAAAGCTTTGGTTTTGCATTGTGACCTCTTTTTAGAGTATTTTAACTGCCACTTTGAGCACCACAGGCTCTCCTAAAGCTAAAGGGTTGAGTGGCAGAGCTCTTTGAGCTTGGCTTGGGGCCATGATCGTGTATAGTTGCTAGTACTCTGCGACGTGAATTTGGCTTCGATCCACTAGAGAAATACTTCTCTTGCTTAGCACCGCTCAAAACTGCCAGGTTTTCAAGTCACCTGATAAATGTGCCGGGTCACGACACCTGATGTGGTATTCCGCTGCCTCCAAAATGAAAAGAAGCTCTCAGAGGCTTGTCCCTCCTCCTTAGAGGAAGGGGACTATGGTGCAGCAATTTGTCATGCACTTTGGAGAAAATACGCTGCCACCTCTTAGTCCTCTAGACCTCAGGAACTTCGTTGGAGTGGCAGCCCCCGTCTCGTTTTTAATCTTCTACTCTTTGTCACAGTGTACCTTACCAAGACATCTAGTGCACTTGCTGCTTCCTCTTCTCCAGGTCCTTTCTGTATGAACTCATCCAAATAATGAGACAGCAGCATGTCCTATGGGATGCACAGGTCCCTGTGGAATGGACTGTCGCCCACAGCTGGACAGCTGCTATATCCTTTTTTTTTATTTATTATTATTATGTTTTTTGAGACAGAGTCTCATTCTGTCACCCAGGCTAGAGTACAGTGGTGCGATCTCGGCTCACTGCAACCTCTGCCTCCCGGTTCAAGCGATTCTCCTGCCTCAGCCTCCTGAGTAGCTGGGATAACAGGCGCCTGCCACCAAGCCTGGCTACTTTTTGTATTTTTAGTAGAGATGGGGTTTCACCATGTTGGCCAGGCTGGTCTCAAACTTATGACCTCATGATCCGCCCACCTCAGCCTCCCAAAATGCTGGGATTATAGGCATGAGCTGCTGCACCCGGCTGCTGCTATATACTTAAGGCAGGTCAGTGGAGGTGTATGACTCTTCCTGCAACGTGAATGCTAAGTGTTTTTGGCAATGTCTGTGTATTGAAATGGAGCAAAGTGCACTCACCAGATTGAAGTACTTAATTATTATTAATGGATTTATTAATTCCAGTGAGGAAAATGTATATCATTGTCATTGTAATTATTAGTTACAATTGGAGTTACCACTGGATCAAGTTTGTTATAATCTACTGTCATTTTTTATTCTCTAGACACAAGACACACAGGCTTTGGCTCATATTTTATCACCAATGTGTTGGTCACTTTGAGCAGAACACTGGCCACTTCCGGTCTTCAGTTTCCCTCTCAGTACTGTGAGCTATACCATCACAGTGAGCTCTCCTGGGTGATCTGTATGACAGCACTTCTGAGCTCAGTATTAGGAGCCAAAGCTAATGCTTCATCATGATGGAACAGGTGACATTTCCAATGGCCCCTCCTTGGATTGGTGTCTGTCCCATTGATCAAGGCATTGAGACATACAGCCATTCTGAGTTGTGAGAAGCAACTCTGTAATACATGGAGGAAAATATAAGGAAACTCTACTTGACTATCTATGCGTCCATTCCTTCACTCTAAAGTCCCTGTTCTTCCTCCCTGGAGTTGTATTGAATCTGAGAAATTACATATTAGTTCCTTCATTGTTGTTGTTGAGATAGAGTCTCACTCTCTCACTGAGGCTGGAGTGCAGTGGCGTGATCATGGCTCACTGCAGCCTTGTACTCTTGGGCTCCAGCAATCCTCCCACCTCAGCCTCTTGAGTAGCTGAAATTACAGGCATGCACCATCATGCCCAGCTAATATATATATATATTTTTTTGAGATGAAGTTTCGTTCTTGTTGCCCAGGCTGGAGTGCAGTGGTGCAACCTCGGCTCACCACAACCTCCACCTCTCAGGTTCAAGCGATTCTCCTGCCTCATCCTCGAGTAGCTGAGATTACAGGCATGTGCCACCATGCCTGGCTAATTTTGTATTTTTTTTTAGTAGAGATGGGGTTTCTCCATGTTGGTCAGGCTGATCTCGAACTCCTGACTTCAGGTGATCTGCCTGCCTTGACCTCCCAAAGTGCTGGGATGACACACGTGAGCCACCGCGCCCAGCCTAATTTTTTTGTATTTTTTGTAGAGATGGGGTTTCATCATGTTGCCCTGGCTGGTCTCCTGGGATCAGGTGATCTGCCCGCTTCGACCTCCCAAAGTGTTGGGATTAAAGGCATGAGCCACCATGCCCAGCCCAATTTTTACATATATTTTAAAAATTATGTGTTCCAACAGACCTGTTAGTGTAGGAACTCTCATCTCATTTGACAGCAAGGATACCAGGACTCAAAGTAGTTAATGGCATACTTGAGGTCATGAACTAATGAATGACAGAGTCACGATTTAAATTCAAGGTCTTGGCTGGGTGCTGTGGCTCACGCCTATAATTCCAGCACTCTGGGAGGCCAAGGCAGGTGGGTCACCTGAGGTCAGGAGTTTGAGACCAGCCTGGCCAACAGGGAAAAACCCCATCTCTACTAAAAATACAAAAATTAGCTGGGCGTGGTGGCGTGTGCCGGTAATCCCAGCCACTCGGGAGGCTGAGGCACGAGAATAGCTTGAACCTGGGAGATGGAGGTTGCAGTGAGCCAAGATTGCACCACTACATTCCAGCCTGGGTAACAGAGCAAGACTTTGTCTCAAAAAAAAACCAAAAACAAAAAAAACAAAAGAAATCAAACTCCTGGGCTCAAGCAGTCCTCCCACCTCAGCCTCCCAAGGTGCTGGAATTATAGGCGTAAACCACCGCCCCGGCCAGTCCCTTCATTTTCAGAAAGTTTGGGGAGAACAATACTTAATCTGAAGGGGGAAAGCCATACCACATAAATTCTGTTAATTCAAGCTTTGTTGTAGGCAGAAAGGAGAGTAATTGGAGAGCATGGCGGGGGAGGGGAGTGGGAATATTCACCTCAAGGCATACCATAGGTGAGCCTAGGTATAATGGTCATTTCCGTTCATGCAGTTCAGACTCTTTGAAACACAAATACACACACACACACGTGTGTGTGTGATCAGGGCTTGTTAGAGTTGCAAAGAGTGGTCCCCAAGGATGGTCCCTCTGGACTGAACCACAGCCTCTCTGTTTCACTTCCCCCAAGGAAGAAGTCCCTCCTGGTGAATAACATCTTTGTGGTGTTGGCAGCGATTCTGTTTGGATTCAGCCGCAAAGCAGGCTCCTTTGAGATGATCATGCTGGGAAGACTGCTTGTGGGAGTCAGTGCAGGTATGGGGTGGGGGCTTCTCGTCCTACCTCTCTATGCCTATTTATTCATAAATTCATTATTTTATTTCATTTCTTCCCTCATTTCCTCCCTTTATTTATTTATTTATTTAATTTTATTTTTTTGAGATAGAGTCTCGCTCTGTCACCCAGGCTGGAGTGCAGTGGCGCTATCTCGGCTCACTGCAAGCTCTGCCTCCTGGGTTCACACCATTCTCCTGCCTCAGCCTCCTGAGTAGCTGGGACTACAGGCTCCCACCACCATGCCTGGCTAATTTTTTGTATTTTTAGTAGAGACGGGGTTTCACTGTGTTAGCCAGGATGGTCTCGATCTCCTGACCTTGTGATCCGCCTGCCTCAGCCTCCCAAAGTGCTGGGATTACAGGCGTGAACCACTGGGCCCAGCCTCATTTATTTACTTTTTGTTTATGCCTACCTTTGTCACAAAAGGATGAAATATAGTTTATCTTAAAAGACTCGTATGACTTGATATTTAAAGTAGGTACAGAACAATGGAAAAGTTGTGTAGGGGTGGGGAATAAACACCTGCAAACTAACACTAACAGAGGTCCCATGTTTGAGTAACACTGTAAGCCATGAGCTTCCTGGCAGCCAAAGTATAAAGGGATATAGGATGAGTTTTCTGATCTTCCCTCAGGCAGAATGGCCTGTTAGGTACTCCTCAGTTTGTGGGGCTTTTCATGTGAGAGAGCAGAATTTTGAGCACATCCACCTGGGCTTTTAGGGGCTCCAACACAGCTTCCTTAGAGCCCTTCACACTCAGGTCCCAGTGATGGGACCTAGGAAGTTCCCACGAACATGTGGGACTGTGGCCAGGGACCAGGATTGCAGCAGATCTGAGAAAGCCCTCTCTCAGAAGTTCTGAGGAGTAGAGTTGGGATCCTATTGGTCCTTCAGCAGGTGAAGCAGAACCCCTCAGAGTGTGGGGGGTGAGGGATCAGCCCTCAGTGCCAGGATCCAGTTGAGTGGCTGGACAGTGCTGAGTGGGGCAGGGGAGACAGGCCGATGTCGTGGAGGGAAGTCCCAGCTGGTAGCTGATGTGCCTCTACTGTGCACACGTCCAGGCGTGAGCATGAATATCCAGCCCATGTACCTGGGGGAAAGCGCCCCTAAGGAGCTCCGAGGAGCTGTGGCCATGAGCTCAGCCATCTTTACCGCTCTGGGGATCGTGATGGGACAGGTGGTCGGACTCAGGTAAGCACCCCTCCCCCACATGCATTGAGTATTTCGGAGATACCAGTAAAAACCTTTCTTCACCTAAATGTCTCCCCTACCCACTAGTAGATTAAAGCATTGTTGCTTTGCATGAAGGCATCAAATCCTCTATCCACATCTCTGCTGCCAATTCACAAAATGGGTATCAGTCAACATACTGCAATGTGAATCACCTTTTCCTATCCTCTCCAGGTCAGGGAGCAAAGAACAGGTCTTGACAGAGGAGAGGGTAAAGATTTGGGCTTTCAAAGAGAAACCTGTTCCAGTTATTCCAGAAAAAAGAGGAGAACGCAGAGCCTTGACTCTTGGGAAGGGGAGTTGCTAGGGATGAGGTGGGGCAGTGTCCCTGTCCTCTCTTGGTCCCAGCCTGGGTGGGAGGGATCTTGATGCTCAGACCCAGACTTGGATAGGAAGAGGCACGGGCAATTGCAGACCCTCTGCAGGAGGGTGTGCAGGTGGGCAGGAGAGCAGGGTGGTGGGACTCTGGCAAAGAGGAATCTGGCCTGGCCTCTCCTCTGCCTCCTTAGGGAGCTTCTAGGTGACCCTCAGGCCTGGCCTCTGCTGCTGGCCAGCTGCCTGGTGCCCGGGGTGCTGCAGCTCGCCTCCCTGCCTCTGCTCCCCGAAAGCCCACGCTACCTCCTCATTGACTGTGGAGACACCGAGGCCTGCCTGGCAGGTGAGTCTCTGTCCTTGGGCTCCCAGACTGCCTTGACCAAGGGGTGCATCTCCTCAGAGTATATGGGTCCCCATTTCATAGGTTCATTTATCAAGGAAAAGCTATCCCTCTCTTTGTGTCTCAGTTTCATGATCTGCCCATACCTGCCTTCAGTCAGAACTCTTATCAAGTGGCTGTCCAAACTGCCAGGCAGCAAAATGGATCAGACATAGCCACTGTTATTCAAGAACTCCAGAGTGGTGTGGAGAAACACACACACACACACACACACACGGTCAAACACCTGTGCAAGACCTCACCTACCCAATGCCAACTGGGTGATGGTCATCTTATCAGTCAACTATGGCTACAATAAGAATGCCTAAGGAACAACTGCCACATTTCTGGTTTAAAGCAACAATTATTTACTGCATCTTTTATTCATTTGCTTGCCTGGCTGGCTGCGCAGCTCTGCTGATCTCAGCTGGGCTACCTCACAGCATGGGGCGGGAGACGGGGGCAGCGGTGAGGTTCAGCTGCGGCTTGGCCGGTCTGGGCTGGTCTGGACTGGAGTCATTCAGTTTTGCTGCACTTTCTGTCCTCTCACTTTTGGTACCAACAGGTTAGCCTAGGAATAGTATGATGATGGCAGAGAAACAAGAAAGCAAATCAGTTGCATAAGTGCTTTCCAAACCTTTGGTCCCCTCATGCTATTAACATTCCATTGGCCAAAGGGAGTCAGTCATGCTGCCAAATCCCAAGTCAAGGGATGGGAAAATTGATGGCATATCCTCTCCCATCGCAAGGGGTGTGGATTTAAGGAGGGGTGAAGACCAGAGCCCATTAGTGTACTCTTCTCTGTCACCATGGCCACAATTATTACTTATGTCTCTCCTCTGTGCAAAATGTGTTCAGTCCCATCCCAGGATCCCCCAGAGTCTCATCCAATCATGGCATCAGGCTTGAAGTCCCAGATCTTACACCACATTAAGTCTATATGGGCCTTTTCTTGATCCAGAAACCTAGGATCTAGAAAGATAAGTCTTCCTCCCTTCCCACACTCAGCGTGCAATGGTGAAAAGTAAGATGAGGTAACCGGAATTAAAGCTCTCATTTCAAAAACGAGGAAGCAAGGCAGGCACGGAGCAGTCACTAATCTATAACAATTCTGAAGTGCCCCTAGGAAAATACGGCCATGTCCCCTGCCTTGGGGGTAGGGAGTATTCTTTGTTCAAGTTCCGGCTCTGTCCCCTGCCCCCTAGGAAGGGCACCCCAGGCCATGGTTCTTTTTTTTTCTTTTTTTTTTTCCTTTAATTTTTAGAGACAAGTTCTCGCTTGTCCAGGCTGGAGTACTGTGGCTATTCATAGGCATGACCCCATTGTTGATCAGCGTGGAAGTTTTCTTCGTTTTTGTTTTGTTTTTTTTTGGTTTTGTTTGGAACAGGGTCTTACTCTGTCACCCAGGCTGGAGTGGTGTGATCTCAGCTCACTGCAACCTCCGCCTCCCAGGCCCAAGCAATTCTCCCACCTCAGCCTCCTGAGTAGCTGGGACTACTGGCCCGTGCCACCACGCTTGGCTAATTTTTTTTTTATTATTGTATTTTTTGTAAATATGGAGTTTCATCTTTTGCCTGGGCAAGTCTCAAACTCCTGAGCTCAAGTGATCCATCCTCCTTGGCCTCCCAAAGTGCTTGGATTATAGGCATGAGCCATTGTATCCAGCTAGCACGGAGGTTTTGAACTGTCCCATTTCCAGCCTGGGCCAGTGCATTCCTCCTTAGGCAGCCTGGTGGTCCCTGCTCCTGGGACGTCACTATATTGATGCTGAACTTAGTGCAGACACCTGATCTGCCTAGCGTACCACAACCCAGAGCTCCTGGGCCCAAGTGATCCTCCTGCCTCAGCCTCCTGAGTAGCTGGGACTCTAGGCACACACCACTATGCGTGGCTCTCCATGCTTCTTGCATCTGCCCTCTGAGATGTTTTTCCTTTTCTATCACCTTCCTTGATTCCTTCTGAAGAGGGCATTGCACAGTGTGCTGCTTTTGATGGTTGAGCACATTTCTCAGCTTGCTTCCTGTCTACAGAGAGTTGGGGCAGGCCGGGCGCCGTGGCTCATACCTGTAATACCAGGGAGGCCAAGGCGGGTGGATCACGAGGTCAAGAGATCGAGACCAACCTGGCCAACATGGTGAAACCCCATCTCTACTAAAAATACAAAAATGAGCTGGGCGTAGTGGCATGCGCCTGTAGTCCCAGTTACTAGGGAGGCTGAGGCAGGAGAATCGCTTGAACCCAAGAGGTGGAGGTTGCAGTGAGCCAAGATGGTGCCACTGCACACTGCACTCCAGCCTGGTGACAGAGAGAGACTCCATCTCAAAAAAAAAAAAGAAAGAAAAGTTGGGGCACAGAAGTCTTTATATTTTAAATTGTCCTGGTCAAAAAGCAGAGCTGGTCAAATTGTCCTGGTCAAATTGTCCTGGTCAAAAAGCAGAGCTTTTGCCAATACAACTTTCTCAAAAATGATGTGAGTTTTCTATGTATTTGAGGTTTTTTCATGTGCCAACAAACCACACTCACAATTACTTTTGAGACAGGCTTCTCTCCCAAGGCCTAATTGCTGTTATTTAGGGTATGTCAGGCTACCCTGAAACAACGCCCGCAAGGCTCCTAAATGCCCCCTTTTCTAGCTGTGAGGGTCTATGAGGCACTGCTTTAAGCCACATGCTTGATTTGATCTTTACTATGAGTCCATGGCTTCCTGGCGGTGCTCCGGATTTGATCTTTGCTCACAGGCTGTTACTTAATTTGGGATTCTTTTGCTAGCTGGAGAGGATAGAGGTGAGAAAACATTTTTGTTGTTGTTTTCAACTAACCCAGCGTTTCTGAAATATGCTATGTTTAATTAAATTTGGTTGCCTCTGAATTCTGTTTGCAAACTGGCCAGTTATTTTCTGAGCTAATTCTTCATGTCTTACAGCGAGCTTAGAATATTCATTTAACAGCAACCAGTGCATGCTTTCAACATTTGGAGTTTTCTTTGCTCAAGTCCATAAGTTCATTGAGCCCATTTTCTTTCTTCCAAGGTACTGCACTATATAACATAGCATTTCATTTCTTCAACCTCATCGCCATCCTCTGCCTGATCTTGGAACTAATACCATATTTCACAGGTCTTTGTTATGGTAGCACCCACTCCTGGTGCCAATTTATTGATCAGCTTTCTATTGCTGACTAATAGACAATCATAACATCTCGGTGGTAAGCAAACAAACAAAACAAGCAATTGTTTAGCCTAAGCCTCTAAGTCCTCTGGGCTGGGCTGATCAAGGATGGTTCTGGCTGATGTCTCTGCTGATCTTGGTCATTCCTGCAACTGCAGCTCAGCTGGGCATTGGCTGATCTAGAACAGTCCCGGCGAGGGTGGCTCATCTGGGCCCCTTTGGCTGTCCATGTCTCTTTTTTTTTTTTTTGACACGGAGTCTTAACTCTGGTCCCCCAGGCTGGAGTGCAATCGCACGATCTTGGCTCACTGCAACCTCTGCCTCCTGGGTTCAAGCAATTCTCCTGCCTTAGCCTCCTAAGTAGCTGGGATTACAGGCGCCTGCCACCACGCCTGGCTAATTTTTGTATTTTTAGGAGAGACGGGGTTTCACCATGTTGGCCAGGCTGGTCTTGAACTCCTGACCTCAGGCCCGCCTCTGCCTCCCAAAGTGCTGGGATTACAGGCTTGAGCCACTGCACCTGGCCAATGGCTATCCATGTCTCTTGTCATCCTCCTGGCTAGCCTGGAATGTTCTCATGGTGGCAGAAGAGCAAGTATAAGTGAGCAAGGCCTCTTAAGGCTCAGGCTGGAACATGGCATGCCCTCACTGCAACCTCATCCTATTTGCCAAGCCCGGAGCCAGGAGCAGGGATGTAGGCGGTACTTGCCCCTTTAGTGGGAGGAACTGCAAAATCACACAGCAAGCAGCATGGGTGCAGGGAGGGGTGAAGAATTGAGTTTGATAATGTGCTGCAATAGTCATGATATGTCCGCAGAACCCCGAGTTTCTTTCTAAAGCCTTTTTTCATCCACGGTAGCAACACCCCAACAGCCCTGAGAAATGTCAGGGCCAGGAAGATCATCTCCATCTGACCAGGGAGGCAAACAGACACAGAGAGATTGAGAGAGACATACACACAGAGACAGACACAGAGACAGAGAGTGAGCCAAGAAGGAAAGGAATGGTGTGATGGAGGAGAGGGTCCCTGTGGGGGGACCAAAGAGGGGCTTGGGGAAGGGGAGCTCAGTACCCTCTTCCCTGGCTCAGCACTACGGCGACTGCGGGGCTCCGGGGACTTGGCAAGGGAGCTAGAGGAGCTGGAGGAGGAGCGCGCTGCCTGCCAGGGCTGCCGTGCCCGGCGCCCATGGGAGCTGTTCCAGCATCGGGCCCTGAGGAGACAGGTGACAAGCCTCGTGGTGCTGGGCAGTGCCATGGAGCTCTGCGGGAATGACTTGGTGAGACCCCTGCCCCGCCCCACGCCCTGGGCCCTGGAGGCTTGGTGTTGCAGGCTGCTGGGAGCCATGGGAGGTGGAAAGGAGCCCAGGCCTGAAAGCCATGCTCTCCCAGATGTACGCCTACGCCTCCTCCGTGTTCCAGAAAGCAGGAGTGCCAGAAGCGAAAGTCCAGTACGCCACCATCGGGACTGGGAGCTGCGAGCTGCTCATGGCGATTGTTAGTGTGAGTCTGGAGGGCGCCCTTCCTCCACCAGCCCTTGGGGGAGGGACCCCCAGGTCCTCTGCATTAAACCAGTTTACACTGCAGTTTATGGTGTTAAAATGCAGTGAGGGGCCGAGTGCAGTGGCTCACGCTTGTAATCCCAGCACTTCGGGCCGAGGCGGGTGGATCACGAGGTCAGGAGTTCGAGACCAGCCTGGCCAACATAGTGAAACCTCGTCTCTACTAAAAAATACAAAAAATTAGCCAGACATTATGGCGGGCACCTGTAATCCCAGCTACTCGGGAGACTGAGGCAGGAGAATCACATGAACCCAGTAGGTGGAGGTTGCAGTGAGCCGAGGTGGTGACATTGCACTCCACCCCAGGCGATAGCGCTGAGGTGGGATCAGGAGTTCGAGACCAATCTGGGCAATACGGTGAAACCTGTCTCTACAAAAAATACAAAAATTAGCCGGGTGTGGTGGTCTTTGCCTGTAGTGCTAGTTACTGGAGAGGCTGAGGTGAGAGGATCACTTGAGCCTAGCAGTTTGAGACTGCAGTAAACCGAGATTATGCACTGCACTCCAGCCTGGGCTGGACCAGCGAGACCCTGTCTCAATCAATCAATCAATGCAGTGAGTTAGAGAGCATCTATTGTTTGCGGGTCACTGCCAGCACCATTTTGAGATGCGGAAACTGGCTGAAGTTGGGTGATTGATTGACCAAGTTCCTTTAGGAAATTAATAAAGTCACATTGAAGCAATAAACTACCCCCACCTCCACCACCAGCTTTCTCAGGAGACCCCTTCCCATTGCCTGCCCCACACCTCAGGGACCATGGCTGGGTGCATGGGTCTGCGCTTTCTTCCTTTGAAGTGTGTGGCAGTCGAGAGGATGGGTCGGCGCGTGCTGCTCATCGGTGGGTACAGCCTGATGGCCTGCTGGGGGAGCATCTTCACTGTGGCCCTGTGCCTGCAGGTAGCTGGGGTGGATGAGGGCTGGAGGGTCCAGGCCAGGCTAACTTCCACCTCACCCCTGCCCCGTCCACGGCAGAGCTCGTTCCCCTGGACACTCTACCTGGCCGTGACCTGCATCTTTGCCTCCATCCTCAGCTTTGGCATTGGCCCTGGTGAGTGGGCCCAAGGGGCTCTGGGCATCCGTCATCACATAGAAGGAGTGATGGGTGGCTGGCTGCACGGTGGTGGTGTGAATGCAATGTCCCCTGGGGGCCCTCAGAGACCACCTCGTGCTGGGGCTTCTGGGAGGGAATGGCAGGAGGAGAGCCCTGAGGGGTCCCCCATACAGACTGGGCCTGGGCTCCCACTCCCATGTCTGGGCTGGGGTAGGGGAGAGGCAGGCAGGGAGCCCTGGCCAGCAGACCCCTGTCCCTGCCCCTCCTTCCAGCCGGGGTGACGGGGATCCTGGCCACAGAGCTGTTTGACCAGATGGCCAGGCCCGCTGCCTGCATGGTCTGCGGGGCGCTCATGTGGATCATGCTCTTCTTGGTCAGCCTGGGATTTCCCTTCATCATGGTAGGCCCGCCCCTCCCGCTGGGGGCCCTGCCTTAGGCTGTGTCCCTGTCATCTCAGCCTCCCGCTGAGAACCCCAGCGGGAGGCTTCCATCCAGGGAGACTGAGACTGAAAGGGAGGGGTCTTAGGGGAGCAAAGAGGGGGGCAAATCCCTCCTCACAACCTGTCGTGGGCCTTCCGTTTGGGGTTGATGGAGCCACACCAGGTCTTGGGGTCTCTTTTAATCCGCAGGAGGCCTTGTCCCACTTTCTCTATGTCCCTTTCCTTGGTGTCTGTGTCTGTGGGGCCATCTACACTGGCCTGTTCCTTCCTGAGACCAAAGGCAAGACCCTCCAAGAGATCTCCGAAGAATTACACAGACTCAACTTCCCGAGGCGGGCCCAGAGCCCCATGTGGAGGAGCCCGGAGGTTATCCAGTCGACAGAACTCTAGTCCCAAAGGGGTGACCAGGGGCCAAAGCCAGCTGCTGTCGTGTCCTCTGCTTCCTGCCAGGGCCCTGGTCCTCACTCCCTCCTGCATTCCTTTGTTTAAGGAGTGTTTATTGAGCACCCGTTGTGTGCAGACATGGTTCCAGGTGCTTAGCAATCAGTGGTGAGAGTGGTGTTCCAGGCTAAAGGTAATTAACTGACAGAAAATCAGTAACAATATAATTACAGGCTGGTTGTGGCAGCTCATGACTGTAATCCCAGCACTTTGGGAGGCCAAGGTGGGAGGATCAATTGAGGCCAGAGTTTGAAACCAGCCTGGGTAACATAGTGAGACCCTCTATCTCTACAAAAAAATTAAAAAATCAGTTGGGCATGGTGGTATGTGCTAACAGCTCTAGCTACTCAGGAGGCTGAGGCAGCAGGATCACTTGAGTCCAAGTGTTCAAGGTAGCAGTAAACTACGATCACACCACTGCATGCCAGGCTGGGTGACAGAGGGAGACTTCATCTCTTTAAAATGTAATAATTACAGACTCAGGAAATGCAGTGAAAGAAAAATACAGGTTGGCCAGGCGAGGTGGCTGATGCCTGTAATCCCAGCACTTTGGGAGGCCAAGGCAGGAGGATCGCTTTGAGACCAGGAGTTTGAGACCAGCCTGGGCCACACAGTAAGATCCTGTTTCTACCAAAAAATAAAAAAATAATAAAATAAGCTGTGTGTGGTGGTACATGCTTGTGGTCCCAGCTACTCAGGAGGCTGAAATGGGAGGATCACTTGAGCCTGGGAGGTCAAGGCTGCAGTGAATCCTAATTGAGCAACTGCACTCCAGCCTGGACAACAGAAGGAGACCATGTTTCCAAAAAAATAAATACAGGTTGTAGTGGGTATGGATATGCATACCAGGAGGACTGACCTAGTCTGAGAGGGGAGTGATCAGAATTTTCTGAGGAATTGATGTTTTTAATCAACTTTATTGAGGTATGATTTACACATAATCAAATATATCCATTTTAAGTCCATATTTGGTGAGTTTTGAGAAGTGTATACACTTGTGAAACACCACCGCAATCCAGATGGAACGTTTACCCTGCCCCAAGGCACCCTCATGCCCCTTTGCTATCAATAACTCACCCCAGCCCCAGCCCCAGGGAACCACTGACCTGCTTTCTGCCTCAATTAGTCAGATTTACCTTTTTTCAGAATCTGAAGTCATTCCATACTGTATGTACATATTTGTATCTGGCTTGGCTTCAGATACAGTTTTTGGGATTCATGCATGTTGTTGCATGTATTAGGAGAGACTCCTTTGTATTGCTGAGTAGTATTCCCCTCTGTGGTTAGACCATGATTTATTTATCCATCAACCTGTTAGTGGACATTTTGGCTGTTTCTAATTCTTGGCCATCTTGAATAAAACTGCTGTGAATGTTCCTACACAAATCATTGTCTAAACATGTGTTTTTATTTCTTTTGTGTCTTAGTCCGTCGGCTGCTATAACAAAGAACCATAGCCTGGGTGGCTTATAAACAACAGAAATGTATTTTTTGTGGTTTTGGAGGCTGGGAGGTCCAAGATCAAGGTGACAGTGGATTCAGTGTCTGCTGAGGGCCCATGTCTTGATTCATAGATGGCGGTCTTCTCACTGTGTCCTCCTAGACATGGCAGAAGGGGCAAGGGAACTCTCTGGGGTCTCTTATAAGGACACCAATCCCGTTCATGCAGGCTCTGCCCTCATGACCTAATCACCTCCCAAGAGGCCCAAAGGCCCCACCTCCAAGTACCATCATATGAAGGATTAGGTTTCAATGTATGGGGAGGTTACCTGGGGAGGACATAAACAGTCAGTCTAGCTTTTTGGGTAAATGAATTGCTGGGCTTAATAATAAATGCATATTTAACTGTATACAAATTGTTTTCAAAAGTGATTGATTATACTATTTAACATTCTCGTTAACAATGTGTGAGAGTTCTGGATACTCCAAATCCTCACCAGCACTTGGTATTGTCAGTGTTTTCAATTTAGCCATTCTAGTGAGTGTGTAGTGGTATCTTGTCATTTAATTGTGGTATTTCCCTGATGACCAATAATGTTAGACATCTTTTCATGGCCATTCGTGGGTTTTCTTTTATGAATAATTTGTTCAAATCTTTTGTCTACTTTTTTTTTTTTTTTTTTTTGAGACAGGGTTCTCTCTCTTGCCCAGGCTGGAGGGCAGTGGAATGATCTCAGCTCATTGCAACCTCTGCCTCCTGGACTCAAGCGATCCTCCCACCTCAGCCCCCCAAGTAGGGGGGACCACAGGTGTGAGCCGCCATGCCCTGCTAATTTTTGTATTTTTGGTAGAGATGGTATTTTGCCACGTTGGCCAGGCAAGTTTCAAACTCCTGACCTCAGGTGATCCACCCACCTTGGCTTCCCAAAGTGCTGAGATTACAAGCATGAGCCACCGCACCCAGCCCTTATCTGCTATTTTTAATCAGATTGGTTGTCATCATTTTTGAAATGTGGGCATTTTTTATACATTCTGGAAGCTAGCACTTTGTTAAATATATAGTATCATAAATATTTTCTTGCAGTCTGTAGCTTGCCTTTTTTATTTGCTTAATGTTGCCTTTCTAAGAGCAGAATTTATTTATTTTTATTTGTTTGTTTTTTGAGACAGTCTTGCTCTGTCACCCAGGCTGGAGTACAGTGTCGCGATCTCGGCTCACTGCAGCCTCTGCCTCCTGGGTTGAAGCAATTCTCCTGCCTCAGCCTCCTGAGTAGCTGGGACTACAGGCACATACCACCACACTGCTAATTTTTTTGTACTTATAGTAGAGACGGGGTTTCCTATGTTGGCCAGGATGGTCTTGATCTCCTGACCTCGTGATCCGCCCGCCTCGGCCTCCCAAAGTGCTGGGATTACAGGCATGAGCCACCTGGCCCAGCCAAGCAGAAATTTTTATTTTGGTAAAGTCTGATTTATCAATTTTTGGTTTTTGTGATTCATGCTTTTTGTGCCATAAGATATCTTTGCCTATCCCAATGTTGCAAAGATTTTCTTCTAAATGTTGGATAGTTTTAGCTTTTACACTTATGTTGCTGATGCTGAATTTCAAGTTAATTTTTGTGTATGGTGTGAGGGGTTGAGGTTTCTTTTTTTTTGGAACAGAGTCTCACTGTGTGTTGCCCAGGAGTGCAAGTAACATGATCTCAGCTCACTGCAACCTCCACCTTCCAGACTCAAGCAATCCTCCCACCTCAGCCTCCTGAGTAACTGGGACTACAGGTGCATCCCACCATGCCTGACTAATTTTTGTTTTGTTTTGTTTTATTGTTTGTCTTTGTTTTTGTAGAGACAGAATTTTGCCATGTTGCTCAGACTGGTCCTGAACTCATGGACTCAAGGCATTTGTTTGCCAAAGTGCTGGGATTACAGGAATGAGTCACAGCGTCTGGCCCTTTTTTCTTTTCTTTCTTTTTTTTTTTGAAATGGCTATCTGGTCGTACCAGCACCGTTTGCTTAAACACAGCCATCTTTTCTTCATTATTTTACTTTGGTGCCTAAATTTAAAAATCAATGGACTATTGTTGTATAAGAAAGAATTTCGCTTTTGTCAGGAAACAGTGACTGTTCAAGAGAAGTGGTGGCAGTGGGTTCTCTGGAGAGAGAAATATGTGGGTCAGGGGATCAGTAGGGGTCTCAGGGAGATGGTGACTCTGAGCTGGCTTCCCAAGGATAGGCTCAGCTGGGAGCCTTTTAAAAGCTAGAGCCTTGGTGGCATGTGCCTGTAGTGCCGGCTGAGGTGGGAGGATCGCTGGAACCCATGAGTTGGAGATTACAGTGAGCTATGATTGCACCAGTGCACTCCAGCCTGGGCCACAGAGCAAAACATTGTTTCTACCAAAAAAAGAAAAAAAAAAAAAAAAAAAAGCTGGAGCCACTCGGAGGCAGCAGCGTTGTGGGATGGGAATGAAGCCCCCGTGTCCAGTCACTGTGGAGTCTTCAGTTGGCAGGGGCAGCCCTCCCAGGAGCCCTGTGTGTGGTCACTCTGACCTTCTGTGTGGTCACTCTGACCCTCTGTGTCCATCCACCCTGATCCTGCATCTGTTGACCTGCTCCCCAGCTTACCTTTGTGCTCCAAATGGCTTCCCTGGCTGCCCTGGCTGCAGACCTCCAATGTAGAGTCATGAGTAAGAATCCATTGACAAGCACCCCTGAGATCCCGGGGTACATGCCACAAACAGAGCAGGCATCAGGTGACACCCAGGTCCCGGCCTACCTCAGACCCACTTGGTGACCTGGTCCCCAGCCGGAGCCCTGCCCTCTCACTCACCACCCACCCAGCCGGAATTGGCTCTGGCCACTCTGGGAGCACAGGGTGGGGGTTGCACGTCCCTTGTTGCCCAGGGAGCCCCTCAGGGAGAGGAGACAGGATCTCAGGACAGGACCTTGAAGACAAGGAAGGGCAGCGCAGAGAGGGGCGGGGGAGCCAGACTGGGTTTCTAGGGGGTGGTCCAGGATGGGAGCCGACCTGTCTCTGCTGAGCCTGCGTTCCAGGTGTGAGCATCGATGTCTAGCTCATGTAGCTGGAGAGGAGCCACAGCCATACTCCCCAGCTCCAGCCCACCTCCCCAGACCCCAGACCCAGTGTGGCCTCTCCCCACCTCCCAGAGCATGTGATCAAGCCCCTCAACTAGCCCGAATCCCTCCCTCGTTTGTTAATTACCGGGACCTACATGTCCCAGCTTCCCAGGGCCAGGAGACAGGGCCCAGCCCATCTGGCAGGCTCAAGTTGACTGCCTGGCCGCCAGGATCCAGGCGGCGCTCACAAGGATCTGGGCTTGCACAGCCTGCAAAGGGCCGCTGTCCATTCTCTTGTATTTGCTCTCATCCTCTCCTTTCTTGGACCCTCTGAGTCTCTGGTTCCCTCTTGTTGGGACCCAGATCACTCTGTACCTCAGCTGAATCATTTTTCCCTTCAGTTCACACATATCCACCTAGGGTCCACTACATCCAAAGGCTTCCGCCTCAGTCCTTGTCCTCAGGCTGTGCCCAGGCTTATGAGGATGGCGGTCATCCTTACCTTGCAAAAAGTAAAACAGTCTCCCAGTGACAACAATGTTCAGGGATAACATCTATGGAGGGCTTTCTACCCTCCATAGTATCAGGACCATTCTGAGTGTCTTCCAAGTGTTAGCTCCTTTAATCCTGGAAAGGACCCCATGGAATTAGTACTTTTATCCCCCCTGTTGTACATATGAGAGACTGAGTAGAAGCCAGTGGCTTGTCTAGGGTCACCCAGCTAACTGGAATGGCCAGGAGTAGACCTGGTGACCACGGACCCCAGACCTTGATCACTGCACACACTGCGTCTGGGGCCTTGCCTGGTATCTGAGGTCCGTGGCACGCTGGTGCTGATCATTCAGAGTGCTCATGGGCAGTGTAGTCTAGAGTCGGTGTGCTTCCTGATCTCCTTGATCTCCATTTTATTGAGGAGGCCTTTAGGCCACCCAAGGGGTCCAGAGTGACCCGGTGGATTAGCAGTGGAGCTGAACTTGAGCCAGTGCTCTTCGAGGCTCGTGTTCTGCCCCTACTCTGGTTCATTCTGCAGGTAGCAGGGAATCATTGAAGATTAGAGAGAATCAAACACCTAGAGAGAGATGACTCTGCCCGGGGAACCCAGGCTCCTGTCTGGGTGCACACTCCAGGGCTAGATGGTGACTTCTCAGCTACTCTAGCTTCATAGGCTCATATGTGCATGTCAGCATGCGTGTGGACACACACACACGTGCACGCATACACACATGGACACACACACACACCGCTGTCTTTAGAATCAGACCATGAAAATGCTTTCTCAGAGGCCTGGGGGTGAGAAAACTGACAGGTGGGTGGTGCCTCCAGCTAGATGTGCTAGGATGGGGTGGGAGATGAGGTGACCACACCTGGGTGGCAGGGGCTCTGGGGGAGTGAACCTTCTAACTAACAGATCTGGGATGCTGCCATGAGGAGGAAGAGGGAGTCAGCAGCCATGCCTGCCAATGCCTCCTGGAGCATTTGCCCATGGTTTGCAGATAATTATTGTGTCCCTATGGGTCCCAGGTTTATTATTTTTATTGCTCTTATAACAAATCAACACAAACTTTTAGCAACTTCAAACAACACACATTTATTATCTCCCAATTTCTGTGGGTCAGTAGTCCAGCGTAACATGACTAGGTCTTCTGCGTCAGGACTCGCATGGCCAAAGTCAAGGTATCAGAAGGGACAAGGGAAAAATCCACTTCCAAGTTCAATCTGGTTGTGAGCAAAATTCAGTTCCTTGTGGTTGTACCATGAGGTCTCTGGTCCCCTTCATCTTCAAAACCAGTAATGGACATCGAGTGCTTCTCTTGCTTCGAATCTGGCACTCTGACTGGAGAAAATTATCTGCTTTTAAGAGCTCATGTGGTTAGATTGGGTGTACCCAGATACTCCATGCTAATCTCCCTATTAGGTCCATAATCCTAATTGCATCTGTGAAGTGCTTTTTGCCAGGTAACATAGCATACTCATAGGTTCCAGGGATTAGTGCTTGTCCTCCTCCTGCTATTCTTTAGTGGGCAGGGGGTCATCTGCCTACCATGGAGGTAAGGGGTCAGGAGGTAGGCATACAGCAATGCCCAAAAAGAGACTGTCCCCACTGGCACGGAGTTTATCGCCTAGACATGCAGTCTTAACTCAGAAATATGGAGATAGCCTTGAAGGACAGGACAGGTGCTGGGCACATGTGGGAATGGACCAAGCCAGGTGCTTCAGGGGCTTTCCCAAGGACCTGAGGCTGAGTCAAGAACTAGAGGATGAGTTGGAGTCAGACAAGGGAAAGTGTGGGCAAGCTGGATTTCAGGACCAACCCCAACCCTGGAGCCAGGAGCCATGGTACTGAAGGACAGTGTGCCATGACTCAGAGAACAAGGGAGGGTTGGGGGAAGCTCACAGGGCCTTGTGACAGTACAATCCCTAGTATCAGAGGAGACTGTTACTGGCATTTAGGCCACTTGGTGCTTATAATACCTCTATGTCAGGTGAACACTATTGTCATCCCCAAATTACAGATGGGGAAACTGAGCCAAATGCCCATGCTAGTAAGAGGCAAATCATATCACTTCTTTGGGTACCCTTCTAGAAAGATGAGGCTGACTGCCACTGGAAACAGCTGGGGAGGGTACAAGGAGATGACAAGTGGCTCAGAGGCTGTCCTGGCTATAAGAATTAAAGAGGAAAGAAACACGAAGGGTGGCTCAACAGTCAACATGGACAGGTTTATTTTAGAAAACAAACTTGAGAGGGGCTTCTGGTCGAGTTAGGTCAGAGCCACACTCTCTTACAAACTAAGGATATTTAAGGGTTTTGGAGGGGGTGCTTATCATAGGTTCCAAATGTTTCTGTGTGAGGGAAAGTTTATTGCGGGGTTGGAATGTCTCTGGTTGGAGGGGAGGCTGTCTCGGGGTTGGCATGTTTCTGGTCAGAGAGGGGTTTATCTTAGGTTTGGAATGTTTCTGGTTATGCTGACATTAGCCATTAGGCTGATGTTTTGGGGCTGGATTTAGGCAGCTTTTAATTAAGGGGGAACTTAGAATGGTGGTGTTTGTTCAAGGTGGCAATGCTCCTGCTCCGTCACTGGCCAGGTAAGGCAACCCTTTGTTATGATAACAACCTGAGATTGGCAGGGGCTCACATCCAGGGGGAGCTCAGGTGCTTGCTGGCGAGGCTGCACCTTGTCATTCAGGTTCACAGGGAACAGGTCAACCAGGCCCTGGCTCTTCAGTCTTCTGCCTGGAGTGACTTATGTAATTCTGTTCAGCTTTCATTGGGCACAGGGAGTCATAGCTAAATCTGCTGCCTGGGGCTGGGAAACAGACTCCTCCCTTGAGGAGCAGCAGTCCACCATAGGGAAGTCACAGTGGTCCAGGCCAAAGGCAATACAGCTAGTGCAGACTAGGCAGTAGTGCAGGGAATAGAGAGAAGTGGGAATAAAGGGATAGTGAAAGGAGGCACATTTCACTGGCAGGTGATCAGGTGTAGGAGGACAAGTCATATATCTGGACTTTACAGAGCAGTGGACACTCAGTCGGCTGCTGTCAGCGCCTGGGGCTTAGGGGAGTGCCCCTGGCTGGAGACATGGCATGGAGTGCCATCATTTAGGGAGCCCTGGACACAAGTAAGAGAAGGTGCGACAGCAGGAGGGAAAGAGTCTGGGGCCCAGCTGCAGGAACCAACACCCATAGGCTATTTGTATAAATGGGCCATGGGGCCTCCCAACCGGAGGCTGGCTGGTGCCACGAGGGTCCCACAGGCATGGGTGTCCCTACTATATCACATGGCCTTCACCGAGACGGGTATATGGATTGCACCTATCAGAGACCAAGGACAGGACCTCCCTGGAAATCTGAGGACCTGGCCTGTGATCCACTTGCTGCCTTATCCTCTTCCTGCTATGTCATGGCTTATCTTCTTTCACCCATTCATTCATTCATTCATTCAGCAGTATTAAGTCAATGTCTCTTGTATGCTTGGCACCTGCTAGATGGTCCCCGAGTTTACCATTAGTGGAAAAGACAGTTAAGAAATTCAGCAAGGGCTCTATGAGAGGGCATACACGGTGCACCTGACTAGGGTGTGGCTTCCCTGAGGAGCTGAAGTTGCCCAGAGGCCCAGAGAAGTTGAGCTGCGCACATTTGAACCACTGAACCTGGTCTCGACCTCACCTCCTTCCCTTCGGTGCCTCCCAGCATCCTATCCTCTTTAAAGAGCAGGGGTTCAGGGAAGTTCCCCGGATGGTGATTCGCAGGGGCAGCTCCCCTCTCACCTGACGCAGTGACTGCCCCTCCCCATCTCAAACACACAAGCTAACGCGTGCGGGGACTGGAGCCCTTGGGGACGCAGGGGCTCAGTGCGTGCAGTGGAATCCACTCGGCTTCATCTCTGGAAGGGCAAGGGGCCATCTTCCGGGTTCACCACCACATCCCCACTGCCGGCACAGCGCCTCCTGGTGACTATCATCGGTGACCTAATGAAAGGACTAAGAAAGACCCGAAGCGAGGCCGGGACAGGCCGATTTCTAGCGGCCACGTGGAGAACGGTTTGGAACAGTGCGCCGGGCTTAGAGGCGGTTGCTGGAGGAACGGGCAGAGTCGCCCAGGGTCCTGCCCTGCGGGGCGGAGCCGAGGCAGGCGGTGACGTCCCCACTGGAGGCGGAGCCGCAGCCTCGCGGGGACGGGGCCTGGCGCCGGCGGTGGCGTCACAAAAGGCGGGGCCGCAGTAGTGTCCGAGAAGTCAGGCACGTAGCTCAGCGGCGGCCGCGGCGCGTGCGTTTGTGCTTCTGCGCGGGTGTCTGGGTTCTTCTGCCATCATGCCGATGTTCATCGTAAACACCAACGTGCCCCGCGCCTCAGTGCCGGACGGGTTCCTCTCCGAGCTCACCCAGCAGCTGGCGCAGGCCACCGGCAAGCCCCCCCAGGTTTGCCGGGAGGGGACAGGAAGAGGGGGTGCCGGCCGGACGAGGGGGTCCCGCGCTGGGAGCCGGGGAGGCGACTCCCGAACGGAGCTGGGGGGACGGAGCGGGGGGAGGACGGTGGCTCGGGCCCGAAGTGGACGCTTGGGGCTTGGCGAGGTCGCTGGGGCGGGCTGACCGCGCCCCTTCTTGCAGTACATCGCGGTGCACGTGGTCCCGGACCAGCTCATGGCCTTCGGAGGCTCCAGCGAGCCTTGCGCGCTCTGCAGCCTGCACAGCATTGGAAAGATCGGCGGCGCGCAGAACCGCTCCTACAGCAAGCTGCTGTGCGGCCTGCTGGCCGAGCGCCTGCGCATCAGCCCAGACAGGTACGCGGAGGCGCGGGGGAGGCGCGGGGGAGGCGCGGGGGAGGCGCGGGGGAGGCGCGGGGGAGGCGCGGGGGAGGCGCGGGGGAGGCGCGGGGGAGGCGCGGGGGAGGCGCGGGGGAGGCGCGGCGGCGCGCGGCCAGGCCGGTGACTGAGCCGCCCGCTGAGTCCAGCCTCCTCCCCGCGCAGGGTCTACATCAACTATTACGACATGAACGCGGCCAACGTGGGCTGGAACAACTCCACCTTCGCGTAAGAGCCGCCGGGCCCCACGCGGTCTGCGCTGGCTGGACCCGGGAGCCCGCCGCACGCAGTGTTCTAGGCTCGCCCACCCCAACCTTCTGGAGAAATAAAACGGTTTAGAGACCAGGAGTGCCTCGGTGTTCCTTGGCTTGCGGGAGGAATTGGTACAGAGCCGGGACATTGGGGAGCGAGGCCGGGAACGGTGTTGGGGGCGGGGATCAGGGCGGGGTTGCTCCCCTTGGAGCCTGTTCGGGAGCCCTTTTGTCCAGTCTTTCCCTCCTACGCTCCCAACAGAGAAGCCCCAGTGTCTTTCCATTCTGTGGTCTATGAAGGGATGAGGAGAAGTTGGCACCCTGCCCTGGGCTGCAGACTCGGGATCTAAGGTGCTGTTCTTCCTAGGGCCACCACGTGGGGTGCTTGAGGTGAGCCCACTACGGAAGAGGGGGAGGAGGAGTTGGAGTTGAGAGTCCCAGGTCTTCTAGGCCTAGACCTTTCTCTCAGCCCCACCTCCCCCAGCCTTCTGGATGGGCAGAGGATAGCCAGAAGACAGAAAGATCCCACCCAGAGCCACTCACTGCCATCTGCTGCTTTGTTAGGTGACTTCAGCAGAGTTTTCAGGCGGGTGGGCGGGGGAGGTGCGGAGTTCTTGGTTATACCGCTCCGTCCACCCCTGAACCCTACGCCTGGGTTCTGCTCCCTTCAGCCACCCAAGCCCCCGCCACAACAGTTCCCTGAGGAAATTGTGCGTGGGGTTTCCACTGGGACAGTTCGTGTTCTGTGGTGCCACAGACATGTCTGTAAAGCCTTCAGTTATGTTTGGGCGCGGTGGCACACGCCTGTGATCCCGGCACTTTGGGAGGTCGAGGTGAGTGGAGTGTGACTCCTCTGCTTCTCTTACTCTCCAGCCACGTCTCCTCCCCAGTCCCGTGTTCACTCCGTCATCCCGCCCAGCACCGGACAGCAAGCTCTCCTTCCAGAAGAGCAGTGGGGCTGGGTGGGGTGAAGATTAGAAAGAGGAAGGAGAATAGAAGCTCCAGGGAGCCTGGAAGGGTGGCACCCATCTTGGGGTGGGGTACCCCTTCCATAAAGGTCTCTAAAGCAAGGCCCTCCTTAGCTTACTTCCTGCCAGCTGAGGTCCCCAGTGTCACTTCAGTCTCGTTAACTCAGTGAGAGGGCGGTGGAACCCCTTGTCTGCCTCCCGGCTGGGGGAGGCATGGGGGGCATGGCATGGCTCCAGCTGTAGCCGAAGGTCCCACTCCTCTCAGCCTGGCTTTCAGGCTTGAAGAGTCCTTCTTGGATCCGAGTACCTGCGGTGTAACAGGCACCCTCATTGGCCGTGGCCTTTGTCACATCCCCTCAGCTCCTGGGTGCCCCCAGCCCCAGCTTCCCAAGGCCTGAGGCAGAGCTTTGCCCAGGACCCCCAGTTCCCCCCACAATAAGCTCTTTCTGCCTGGGGTCCCACACCCCACCAAGCCCTGGCTGGCCCCCGGCCCCCACCCCAGCTCAGCGGTCTTCACTCTCAGCTGTGCCACGGATGGGGAGAGCAGGGCCGCAGGGCTCCCTGAGCATCTAATTCAACTCCCTCATTTCACAGATGAGGACACTGACCCCAGGATCCAGGGTGTGGCCGTACACTCAATGCCATGCCCCCTACAAGGGCCCTGGCACCTGCTGTGTGAGGGCAGGAGGGTTGATGGGAGAGCCGCCCTCTAAAAACAGATGAGTGTCTGAGGTTCTGTGGCCCCCTGGGGGCATCCACAAGGTGGACTCTGCAGGAACAAAGCGGGTGTCTGTGGGTCGGGGGCCTATCCACTCGCCCTGCTGAAAGTGTTCCTAAGTCCCCTGGGACTAACAACCGGCCTGCCTGCTGGGGAGGGCAGCTGCTACATCCTACCTTCAAGCCATACCTGCCCCCGTCGACCCCCATCCCATGGCCAGCTCCATTTCCTCCAAAGCACAGGCTCCACTGTCCGCCAGGTGGTGGGCCCCTTCCTCAAACCCCCGTTTGACTGCCCCAGAACCTGCAGGGTCAGCCTTGGAAATGCTTTTCCACGTAACACCACAAACCTCGAGGTACAGGACAGACAGGTGTGGGGCCCATCATGCTGCCTGTTCTCCATCACTCTGGTGGTACCATGTCATCTGCTGAGAAAGACTGCTGGCCTACAGGGTGACCCTCACTCTCCTCAGGGCCACTGTTTGCAACGGATGGACAGCCTGGCAGGCTTTGAACCTCATTTTGTAGGTTCACACACCTTTCTTCCGGGATACCCTCCCTGAGGCCACCTGGTCAACGCCCACAGGCCCTTTTGCTTCAGCCCAGGTCCTGTTAGCCGAGGTTTCCCTTTCTGGGTGTGTCTCCTGCACGTAGCTCCACCCAGTTCTGTCATCTGTTGGGCTTGTGGCCCCAGGGGCCCCCTCGGTACTTGTCCATTCTGGAGAGTCCAGCAATGTAGGCTTTCCCCAAGACTTCCCACCCTGCACGTCTCCCACCTCATCCCCTCCGGTAACAGCTTCGTTGCAGAGACTCCCTCCCCACCACCCCTCACTGCCAGCCTCCATTCATACCCCACTCCCTTCTGGGAGCTTGATTCCAGCAAGATCAGGATCAAGCCCCCACTCTGCTCCTTCTCCGGGCCTCAGTTTTCCCCATCTGTGAAATGAAGGGATTCATCAGAAGTCCTTCCCACATACTCAATCATGTAGGCATGACAGGGACATCTCACATCCTCAGAGGCACGATTAATCCAAGGAACGCCTTGGGAGGGGAGGAGAGAGCAGGTGGCCTGTGCCTGCACTCAGGTCTTGATAAATTGTGAAATCTCGCCCTTACCCCTTCCTCAGAGGGCACTATTGTTCCTGATGTGCCAGCCTTGATGGCAGTGGATAGGGAGGCAGGGACAGAGACAATGAGGAAGTGTGGTCAGGTATCTACTTAGAAGTCTCCAAATGGAGCCGGGAAGTGCTAGGAGGCCAGTGAGGCCAGTCTGTGCAGCAAGGCAAGCTGGAGCGGTATCCTGCTGGGATGCAACTAAAATGCATTCACTGGGAACTGCTTCCCCACCAGCCCCACACTGAAGGGCTGGCTCTACCACTCACAGGAACCGGCAGGGCAGGCAATGAGACAACCCTACAGCCTCTAAAGCAGTAGAGAAGATGAATACAGGGCCAACCCTCATATCAGAGTGGTTTTTCAGTTACCTGGACAAGTACTGAGTGAGGGGCCCCTGGGGCCACTAGCCCAAAGACCACAGAATTAGGTGGAGCTCTCTCTGTGCAGGAGACACACACAGAGATCAGCTGATCCCTGGAACTTGGGATATTTCCAGGATTTCTGGGCCACTGACACTATGTTTCTATAAAGCCCTCTTCGGCCATCTCAGTTCCTTTCCAGGCTGAGCAGTGAAAGCCAAGTCTTAGCTCTCCAGGCCTGGGCCTCCCTGAGTAATTTCCAGGACAATGTGAGGGACAGTGTCAACCCACCAGCCAATTGCCCAGATTTCCCCTCCTGGTGAGTGAGGCCAAGCCACTTCATTTCTGTGTTTGAAGCCCATGTAAAAGAGACAGAGATTGTCAGTTTCAGAAACTGACTCTGTCTCTTCAGTCCTGGAACCTCAGGCGTCATCTGGTGACCATGGGGTCTCAACTCACAGTTTAGCTTTCAAAACAGCCAGATAGAGCACTGAATTGAAAGGCTACAAATGAGAAGCTTCATCCCCCATGTCGTCCCCCCCGCCCCAGTGACTTGGCTTCTTGCGTACCTAGCTCTCTTCTCAGTTTAATAGGTAATAGATTTACAGAGGTCAAATTCAAAGCATGCCAAGGGGCTCCAGAGAGAAGGCTCCCTCCTGTTGCCTTCCTCCACAAGGTAATCCTCTCTCAAATTCACCAGATCACTGCATCCAGACAAGGAGATGCTGGATCTCTTGGTCATCATGGTTGCTTTCTTACCCCTTCCTAATTCCTTCCCAAACATAGCTACATCCCTTCCACTGTTATATAATCCTCCAATTTTAGTTGGTCAGGGAGATGGATTCAAGACTTATCTCCCATTCTCCTTGACTGCAGCACCCAAATAAAGCCCTTCTTCCCGGCAGTGATTGGCTGTGCAGCAAGCAATGGGACCTAGATGAAACCCCTGGTGTTTCGGTAACACATTCAGACTGCGGAACAGATTAACCCCAGCTCTCTAGAATTTGTTTTCTGAAGAAGAAACAAACAAAGCAATAATGTCTTATAAAAAGACATGAGTAACCCTAAGCCTGTAAACCCCATCCATCTGTAGGGCACCCCATCTCACAGCAAAGCATGAGTGACAGCTATGTGCCGAGAAGAATCTGAAAAGTAGCCACGCTTCCAAGAATGTCTCCCTCATAACATGATGGGATGAGTCCTTAGTGAATTGCCAACCAAAACAAAAAACACAGTTGCTAAAAAAGAAGGTTCCTCCTTTAGAATCCTTGTACTATCATATCAAAATATTGAGAAGGAGCATCTCTTAATTGACAGTAAGGATGCTGATGACTATTAGTGAATAAAAAGCCAGAAGAAGACATGAAGGACAAGAACTTATACACATTTAACATTTCGGCCAGGTCAAGTAACTACAATAACCTATATACAAGACAAACAAGACAAAGTATGTTTAGAATACATGCGATGAGTATTAATGCAGAAATGGACATTTCTCAGAATAAGATATGACTTTACAGATAGCATACAGAGAATATGATTTCATGCAGATGGAGAAGATGTGGGGGTTGTAGGGGAGCAATAGAAATTTCCTGGCTGGGTGCAGTAGCTCACGTCTGTAATCCCAGCACTTTGCGACGCCAAGGCCAGGAGTTCAAGACCAGCCTGAGCAACATAGTGAGACCCTGGTCTATATAAAATATTTTTAAAAAAGTTTCCTGTACCTAGAAACAAATCCAAGACTCTACAGAGAACCTCTACAGAGAAAACTAACACCCTAAAAGTTATTGGGGAACTAAATAAATGAAGAGACTGACCATGTCTCTGCAATGAGAACAGGCCCCCCAAAATCTGTCCATAAACTGGCCCCAAAACTGGCCATAAACAAAATCTCTGCAGCACACTGTGACATGTTCATGATGGTCATAACGCCCATG